TGCTCAAGGGCCTTTTGACACGCCAATTCTTCCCTCTTCGGCCGCCCGTACCGAGGCAAGCTGCCTTCTAAGGCGACTTTGCAACCAATGCCAATATGGGTATTCAACTGGCATCAGTGATAAATTGAAGAAACAAGGATTTCAGTTGCCAGCATAGGATGCAGCAAGGTCTTCGCTGCATCCTTCACAGGCTTGCCCGGTGACATATTTCCACAAGAGGGGCGAACCCCCCGAATTGCATCGAGACATCGAATCAAAGAAACCTCTGTACCGGTCCTCAAAGACGACTGATCAGACAATTGGTCTAGAGTTCCGAAGATCAGAGAAACCAGAGACAACAGACACGTGGTGGCTGGAAAAAGAAGGGTACGCCCGACGAGTTCGGGGACCTCGGCGAAGCTTAAAGGACGTGTTCGAAGCCTAACACTAGACGCATGCGGACGGAGTATACTCCGTCATTGAGCTTTCTGCGGGCGCGCTGAGTCGCTGACGACGGGAAGAACTGAAAGCGGTCAAGCCGTGGTCCATGGGTCCAGTCAGCCGCCCTGGTCATACTTGCTGGCTATCTGGTGCAGATTTCTGCAATCTGCCACCGGGATCCGCGTGCTCTTTCTCGCACTTTGTCTGGGCGGCATTCGCACTTTGAATCCTGAGTCAGGAAGAGCGGGGCCCGTGGGATAATGTGGGAATAGTTCTTCTCGGCCTCGGTCCCCTCGTAAGCGCCGACACCGAGCAGTCCTGGGCATCGACCTAGAGTTCATCACCCACCTCGACTGACAGGAACAGCTGTTTATTCAGCCCCCAGCAAGTTTGCCGCAAGTTTAAGCATTCCCGTGCAAGCCAAGACAAAATAACAACGAGGTATCGAATCCAATCTTGCGTTGTGTCGCATCGCATCGGGATCTGGTGTCACCCGGATCATTCATACCGGCCCCATGGGACCGGCTCCAACATCTGCCTCCGGAGCTGTCCAAACCTCGCCCACAGAAGCTTCCGACACACCGCAGCCGGGCCAATCCCAGCCCCCGACAGCCGCCGGGGATGAGAGCGAAAGCAGCAGCAGCGGTAGCATGACCCGTCTCGGCAACGGGAGTAGCAGCGGTGGCCGGAAGATTGAGCGATCCTGTCAGCTGTGCCACCGTCGGAAGATTCGCTGCGACAAGAAGCAGCCCTGCGCGTCGTGTGCCCGCGGCGGGTTCCAATGTCATTATCCGCAGGCGGGCCAGCCGATACGTCGGGTCCGGAAGACCACCATCGCCGATGTTGCAAGCCGGATATCGGACCTGGAGAAGACGCTTGTAGCCGGGGCGGCGAGCCAGCAGCAGCAGCAGCAGCTTCCGGCTCTCCGGGGTTCGCCATCGGCCTCCACGCCGGGAACAGCTTTTGGCTTGGGTTTGAATCCAAATCACTCAAATCCATCAGCATCTAGGCCAACGACAGCGCCAGCTTCAGGGTCGTATGAGAAGAGTGTTAACGATGAAATTCTGTTACGGAAGGGATCGTCAAGCCAGTACTTTGACGATGTCCTGATTTCTCGGGTTATTGAGGAAGTAAGATATTCTCTCGCCCACTTGGTGCATGAGATCGTCGGCTGACAATTTGTCTAAAAGGAACATGATATTCAATCAGTTCTCACAACACCTCAGAGTAGTGAGTCAGCCGCTACAGCGGAACTGTCGCCCTTCAATCCAATGGGTATTCTCTCAGCACCAGATCTTAAACTGGATCTTGCTGAGCTTCTTCCTCCAAAATACGGCGCAATAGAGCTGTGGAGGAATTATGTTGACAATATTGAGATTTGTAACAAGGTCCTTCACCGGCCGACGGCAGAAGTCCTCGTCTACACCGCCATCGACGACCCCCGTAATGCGTCCTTGGAAGCACTAGCTGTCATGTTCGCCATCTTCTTCGTCTCGACTGTTGTCCTAGAGCCCAACTCGGTCCAGATTTTCACTGGAGAGGACAAGGTAACGAGCCTCCATCGCTTCAAAACGGGTCTCGAGCAAGCTTTTGCCAAGGCCGACTTTCTCGAACATCCCTCGGTGAAATTCCTCGAAGCCTTGTCTGTGTATCTGGTATGCCTACGTGTACTTGATGTATTCCTTCGTTTGCTTACACTAGGCGCAGGCGGCTCTTCGAATACACAACCCCGGTCGAGGCTTGTGGACCTTGAACGGACTGGCCATCCGGGCAGCTCAATCTATCGGTCTGCACCGAGACGGCACTAAGCTGGGCCTCTCGCCCTTTGAATCCGAGATTCGTAGACGAATCTGGTGGCACCTCGTCGCGCGTGACGGCCGAGCAGCAGAGGACTATGGCTTCTCAAACATCTCAAGCTTTAACGTACAAATAGGCGTGAGCTTCCCGTCGAATCTGGAGGATGGGGATCTGTATCCCGAGATGAAGGAGCTCCCACACTCCCGGACCGGCTGGACGACGTTGACACTGGCACTGATCAATATCCAAGTTACTCGTACATGGCATCGTCTGGCGGCCATGGCCTCATCGTGGGCGGATAACCCAACACCGGAATCCGTCCGCTCCCAAGTCGTCCAAGAGCTCCATGAGTACGCAGAAGGGTTCCTCCGACACTGCAACCCCGTCATTCCCCAACAACGCCAAACGCTCCTCGTAGCGCGTTTCATCATTCGCAAAGTCGACATGGTCACGCGGCAACAGTGGCTCAACCTCCAGCACCCAGAGGCGCGCGATTCGTTCGCAACAGAGGAGAATCTTCTCCAAGCGCTCGGTATTCTCGAAGACGGTATGAGTCTGGCGTCGGACGAGCTGCTACGGCAGTATCGGTGGTCGATGCGGGCGTATCCCCAGTACCATATGCTTCTCTACGTCCTGTGGCACTTGTGCGTGAAGCCGGAAGGACCGAGTGTCGATAGGGCATGGAAGGCCGTGGACGATAGCTTCATGCTCTTGAAGAGCGTGAACGCGAGCTTCGGGCCCGCGGCGAAGATGACGGTTCTGGAAACCTTGAGGGGCAAGGCAACAGCAATACGACAGAGCCTTGGCCAGCAGAACGGCGGCAGTGGCGGCGGCGTCGTCGTCGTCGGTGGCGGAGGGACTACCAACGGGAGCGCCGAGAAGGAGTCCTACCCGACGCCGGGTGGCACCGATGATAGATCGGAAGCAGAGGGCATGGCGGAGAGTGGATTGGACAGTATGGCGGCCGCCGATGGGATGGATTGGGCCGGCATGATGCAGGATTTCCCCGACTGGAGCACACTGATGAACGAGTTCCAGGTGGACGGCTTGGATATGCCAAACTACCTCAACTGATTTTGTGGGTGCTCGGAGTTTTGGACAGGCAGATACCAACCCCAATCAACTATGAACTGTGGAATAATCTCTCTGGCTTTGATCTGCTAGTGAGCTTCGCAGGCTTCGTGAGTAGCCATGATTTTGCGGAAGTCTCTCTCTGGTGTACATTGTTGTAGATACCAACTGGCACTTCGTCACCTTCTACAATCTCGATCTTAGCCTCCTTCCCCGGCCGACAATCGAGAGAGTCTGCGACTCTGCGCGTGAGCTTCGCGGTGCGTGAGCTCGCGCGCAAGCTGCAAGAGACCTTTCAAGGACACGACCATCAACCAGCGTCGATGGTTTAGTGGTAAAATTCTCCGTTGCCATCCAGCAGCGTCGGGGAGCCGGGGGTTCGATTCCCCCTCGACGCATTGTTTTTGATTTCCGCAGCTCCCTTCGAGAGGGTCTGTATTTTTCTTCCCCTCGGAAACTGTTCATCTTTATTACCTTGAATCATGTGTCTTTTCTCTGAGAATCTCACTCTACGGTATCAAATATAGTCATCCTGCAGTCAAATGCGATATGGATGTGCAAATGGCAAAATGGGTGGGGGCTTCTTGCATTTTCCTATAGCCCAGTTGTGCGTTTTGGCTGCATGTTGTGCCGCTCAGCTGCCTGATTTTGATTTTTGTTGTCCAAGGTACCTAGATATGAGGAGATGTGGAACACGTACTTATTACGTAGCCTTTCCTCGGTCACTTATCAAAACTTGAGACTGTCCTTCGTCCGTGATCTGGACTATCTTCGAAATTAAAGTATGGGGTAAGCGTCAGTAATGATGCCTACCATGCAAAGAATTCGTACTGATCCAAGCTTCGTAGCTATACGCACTTTTATAAGGTCAAAGATTGGAGCAGCCCAGCGTGGCAAGCCATCTGGCCTCAGCTGGTTCAAGATGCTCTGCTAATCATAGAAACATCGGACCTCTTCTTGACCGGACCGTCGGAGTCCTCTAAAATCATCACATCGCCATTCGCGAGCCTGGAAGAAGGCATTATCTTCAACGGGGTGGGAATTCATGGCCACGACATTTTTCAGTTTCGTCGGGAAGACCATAGCCAAAAGCGATTCGTGAAAACAGCAGAGAAGCCATACGACCTTCCTGTTGCTTGCATCCTTTTAAGAGCTTCCGTTATATGCCCGCAAGGTATCAAAATCTAGTGGGTTGTCTCTAAATTTCTGTCTGTGACATATGGACGCGACTAAAATATTTCTGCCTTAGTTCTGACGGGAAGTGGGATGGGCTTTCATGGAAGGCTATTCGCGATCTTCACAAGACTCTGTGGCCGGATGACCTTTCACAGTGCCCTTGGCAAGACTACGATGAAGATGACTTTTGGGAGGATGATAAACCACAAAAGCCCACCGCGTTTCTGGCACCAAGGTCTGCACTGAATTTGCGCGCTAGCGATACCAATTTGGAGGAGCAACAGTGTACAACTACACGGCAAGACCTTATCAACACCAGGAAGAATAGCGAAGCCTACTTCTCTCCGAGAGCGGGAGACACGACTGCAGTAGCCCAGCTGGCCCCCATCCACAGCTGGCTCCAAAACTGCGAGGAAAGTCCTGATCACAAGCATTGCCACGCAAGTCCATTACGATGGCAGAATCTCCCCGGCATCCGCTTTCGGCTCATTGACATTCACAAGAGAAGCGTTATCGTCGCTCCCGAAGGGTGTTCATTTGCCGTTTTAACGTATGTTTGGGGTGGCATTGAACAGCCCAAGCTGAAGGAGGCAAACATGGATGAATACTCGTGCGACTACGGGCTAGATGCAATCTGGAGAGACATACCAAAGACAATACGGGACGCCATACATGTGTGCGAAACTATTGGGGAAAGATATCTCTGGGTCGACGCGCTCTGTATCGTGCAGGATTCTCCTCGAGATGTCAAGACACAGATATTGCGAATGCGCGAGATCTACTCCGCCGCCAAATTTACGATTGCTGCAGTCTCAGCAAAGAGTGCGGGGGATGGGCTACAAGGAGCTATCACGGCTAAGCTTTCCACAACATGTGACTCTGCCGATAACCTGGATACTATCCTGGAATGTTCGCCCTGGGGTAGTCGGGGCTGGTGCTTCCAAGAAAAAGCGTTGTCTCACCGTGCTATTCTCTTCACGTCAGCGGGGGTATTTCTACAGTGCCAAGAAGCGACAATCATGCTAGACGGTACTAGCCTTGCCGACTCCAAGACAAGTACGGCTCTCAGCAGGTCCCAGAGGGTAGGTGGGCTTTTGAGTATCCCGCCAAGAGAACAGCTGGACACGTTTCTGTGTGCCACAGAGCACTACTCAAAACGCGCTTTCACCAAGGGCGAAGATAAGATGTCAGCCTTTCAGGGTATTCTTCAGAGGTTCAAAGGAAGCCTCGATGGGGAAGAGTCAATGTTTCATTACGGCTTGCCGACATGCGCCTTCGACCAAGCTATTTGCTGGCGTACCGTATGTCATCGACCGCAAGCCCGAAACCCAAACTTCCCCAGCTGGTCTTGGCTGGGGTGGGACAGCAGTGTTTTATTTGACAGGGGCTTGCTGAAGTCTGCCCACACGCATCAAATGACGGGAGATGAACGAGGCGAAGTAGTGGTAGCAGGCCGCGGTATAAAGGTGCGATATCCTAGTCATCGCTTACGGAAGCCAGCCGCTCTTTCTTTGGTCCCTCACGCAAAGGATGGTATCTTCGGGTTTCCTACGAGTCTAGTGTCAGGATTCTTCAACAAACCTTCTCTAGACCTGGTGGCAAGCGTTGCAGATCTTCGCATCTCGTCAACGCCTGGGAAGATTGAGGACTCGAACGGGCTGTACGCGGTATATCCAGCTATTTGCGTCGAACTTTCGCTTCCTTGCCTTCCTCCCTTCGGAGTACACACGAATGACGCCTTTTCACGGCACGGTGACCAAACATTGAGGATCTACGATGTCAAAAACCACGTGGATCACGGAGCCTGCGAAGTGAAGAACCCTATTGGTTTTATTTGGCTGGACTGTGTCTGGAGAGATAGCCGCCCCAAGGCCTTGTATATGGAATTCATGGCTCTCAGCGGTCATCCGGACGCAGGTAGTTCTGAGGGCTGGTACATCACTATGCTGATGTGCCTCTTGAAGCCCGATCCCTGTAAGAGGTATGATTCATATGAGCGGCTTCAGGTCATGGACTGCTGCATTACAGAGGCAACTTGGATGAGTATCGGAGCAGCGACAAAGATGCCTCACATCTTGTGAGGGTCTAAGCACGCTTTGTGCAAGCTTTCAGGTATAGAAGAGCGTGAAAGAACTAGAATATTGGCAGTGAGCGTATGTATATTGAGGCGGTTGAGAGCCATACGGGATGTGTTCCTCCTTCTTAATAAGTAAAGTACCTAATCAATGCTTCTCTCGCGTCGATACACGTAGTAACTTGCTTATCAGAGTAAGGCCCAACGCCACGCCCATTCTGTGTGTTAATAACGCCCGCTATGCCATAGTCAATGTTTTCCCATCCAAGAACTGGTCTTTAAAGATAGATATGCAAACCAACAGCCGGAATTGATCGTGAAGCAGTCCACCGGCTCAGATTATCATTGTCTCCCACCCTTTGACTTCATCAGTCTGCTCGGGAATAGTCTGCAACATTCGCTTCATCTTTGACTTCCTGCCTGGATTCGGTACCGCTGTATTCGCGCTCTCGAACAGAATTGTCGTCGGTTGCCGAGCATCACTATCGTCGGAGTAAGGACTTTCGCTCCTAGAGCGTCCCGCTGACGAAGGACAGCCGCGACTCCTAGGGCTCACCTGATCGAGAGCTCTTGCCATTTCTGTAGGTGAAGGAAGCCTCTCATACCACCTAATTGGGGTGATCTCCCTGGCCGAAGGGGAGGCTCGACGATCTGTGGGCGACTGGTCGCTGCTACTGGACCCGCTTGAACTTCGGGTACTTGAGCGACCTCTGTCGTCGAAAGGGTTGATGAAGTTCCCCATTGTGGTGTTCTTTCGGAGAACGTCAGAGTTTCCCTCCTCGAGTTCGATCTCTTTCCATCTTTCAAGCTCCATTCCTTCCCTTCGCTCTCCGCTGATGTGGCGACACATGGCGTTGCCAGTCCTCTTGACCCGCTGCAAGAGGCTGGTAAACTTGTCGACGATATCGAAGCCGCATTTGGAAGAGATAGCTAGGGCCAAAGCGATGGGCCAGAAAGTTAAGGTGGCAGAAAGCCACAAGAGCAGCAAGATGTTGCTATGCAGTCTTCTAGCTGAGTTCTCGTACCACTTGAGAAGAAAACGACACCTGTTGAGGGAGGCGTAGAATACAACTGCCGCAATAGTGTAGACAACGCATGCCGCCGCTATAGTTATCGTGTTCCGCATATTGTAGTCGTCCTCTCGTATGCCGGCGCTGAGGCTAGCACTAGGCCTTGGGACGACGAGAGGAGTAGGAGCCATTTTTGTTAGGGCGAGGAGGGAGTACTTTTGCTGGATGATGATAGCTTCCGTGGTATTTTAAGGCCTCTGTATCTAGTTTCTGGTTGATGTATATTCTTGGTGGGATAATCGAAAGAGGCAGATTGGAGCTGAGAAATGACGTTGAGAAGGAGGTGTTGCGGGTATAATCTGGCGACGTTAGACTGGAAGACGAGAGAGATTTATATAGGTAACAATATGTCTATCTACGAGTACTTTGTGTTTGGCCTGGGGACATGATTATCGGAGATAGGTTGTTGATCCGTCGGTGCTGTGAAGTTAAATTTCACCTCTTTGGTAACATCCGCTCTTGACATTCCATACCCGTCCTGAACCGCAACCTAAACATGGCAGTTCCGTAGGCGGAATATATCCAGCCTGCCTGATTTCGCTACATCCATGAATAGGACTTTCGAGCTTTGCGACGTGGACACTAGTAAAATGATGCCTTCTTTCTGAATGGTTGAACTCAGCAGGGTTCATGTTCGGGCGTGATGCTGAAGCGTATAAGTAGCACCCCATCTCTCACCCCTTCTTCAGTCCATCCAGGTCAGTAGGCCTTAGAGCTTTACGCAACTCATATGTTAGCCTGCGGATTTCTCTAGGAGCCTTACGAGGTCATAGTGTTAATGCACGATCAACGGAGCTCGGGTACGTAAAGTAGTAAAGTAGGGAACGAGCTTTCTCCCAAGGGAATACGAACGAGAAAAAGGCCTATCACGACTGATATTTCTCGCCCGAGTGCTCAAGAATAGCTGAACTTTGGTTAAATAGGCTTATATGGCCCGATCCAAGTGATGCAGGCGACATGGAGGTGACTGGCATCACCTGGAGAGTGTCATTACTAACACTGCTAACAGCGAACGATTAATTCGACGACTTGGATTGACTAAGGTAAACTTGCAAACCCTTATACTGAGTACATTGAACATGCTCATTGGCTCCCGTTAACGTGACTGCGAATGCGTTAGCTTCCAATCCAGACAATTTCTCAGCTCGAGTCAGCCTAGCCTAACGCTCCAGAGGAGCATACGGCTTCTGCTCAACCATTCTGCCCTTATGCATCTTCCGCACCTGAGCCGCCGCCAACTCATTCTCAATCGCCACAATCTCTGCCGCAGTCAGTCTCCATCCGAGCAACGGCTCCTTCTCAGAGATCTCAGAGGTCCTCTTACATTGACAAGACATCTTCTCCGCAGCGCGGTACTCAGCAGAGCATACATCACCGAGAGCTATCTCCCCGTCAACGCCCTCGAACTCCTCACAACACAGGAGTCCAAAGCTCCAGCATAGAGCAAGAGGCCAGAAGGCGACGGTGAATACGCCCAGCTGGATATTGAACATCGTATCGATAGCCTTGGGAGAGATACACGGCTCATACCAGCGGTTGCCGGAATGCTCATCCGAAACCGACTCTGCAGCGACATTTGCGACGCCCTCTGACACCGTTCCCTGTCCCGCCCACTTGATATCGTACGCCTGACTAGCGAGATAGAGCAAACCACAGAGGATATACGTTGCCGACCCAAGGGTAATACCCATTGCCAGATCCATGGGACCTTTCTCTGAGGCCTTGACGTGTCGCGTAAAGTAGATAAGGGCCATTGCGCTGATAAAAATGAGGACGGCGTAAGTTTGGACAATAATAAGGTCCACCTTCGTGGTAAGCCTGGAGAAGGTGGACTTTGATGGTTGACGTTGAGAGTCCATGTCGGATGACAACTGCTTCTCCTCGTCGTAGTCTGTCAACTCGCGGCCGGTCTGCTCGCCGGAGGCTTGGACGATGTCAAGATAATCGTTGTAGAAGGAAGTAAGATTCTTCATGGGGCGGGAAGTAGCCGCCCGAATGGAAGCCATTGATGTAGCCATTGCAATTTGTGAGATGGTGTGACGGATAATATTCTGCAGTAAAGAGGTAAGATAAAGGAAGTTGTTCTCGTCGTTGCTTGTGATACGGACCTGTGTTTGATGGATTGGGATGCTGAAGATAAGGATAAAAGGCTATGTAGACGATGGGGACATGGACGTGGTGCTTAATATCACAAGAAGAAAATATCGGAGACAGACCTTTTTACACATTCTTGAGGACCTCTCTGGCAGCACGCGCTACCACAGCATCGTGAAAAGTCAATACGAGACGGAGATCAGAAGACTCTTAGAAACAGAAACCTTACTGGGACGGAATGCCACCGTCTCATTATTATGTCTAGTATTATACAGTACTGGTACAGGATATCAGGCGATTGTGATCGCAAAGATTTCCCCTCAACTCCATGAAAAGTTCAACGTGGTATCGTGGTGCCACAGGTAAGCAAAAGTATGTGCATGAATCGAAATAACGAGTCCCAAAAGGCCCCAAAGCAGCCCCAAAGAGTCAACCCGAATTGAACTGAAAAGCTTTCTCCTCCCTGCTGTGATGCCATACCCTTCCAGCCAGTGCCTTTAATCCACATCGTCCAGGCTGGTGTCGGAAGCATTGCCCAAGTCACCCTCGCTGACCTTCCACGATGCCATCTCCGCTACTGGCACACGCCCTCGTAGCCACCGCAGAGTAGCGTCTGTACCCCGTTCAAGAACATTCCACCTAGGAACTCTGAAGCGGTTGCCAGCGACCTCTAGACGCTTGAGTCCGCCAGTGCCACCTAGAAGGCCAAGCCTCGGGTTCAAGTGTGCAATGTCGTTATTACCAGCATCGACAACCTCCATGCCCTTGATGGTGTCTGGGTCGAGCTCGATCAAGTGGTTGTTCGCTGCCAACAGAACGACGAGCCGGGGGAAAACAGAGCGCAAATCAGGCGGGAGCGCAGTGATGCGATTCAATGAAACGTCCATCTTCTCCAGCTGCGGCGCGACCAAATGCGTAGTCAATGGCGATAGGCTAGTGATATGGTTGCTGACAAGGTTCAGCTCACGTAGTGCTGGAAGGTCAAGCTCCTCCGTCAAGTAAGATTCGCCAACCAGTTGGTTATGTGCAAGAGACAGGGCGGCAAGCGAATCAGCGAAAAAGGATAGAGAGTTCGGGAAACAGGTGAAAAGGTTGTGATGCAGCTGGATCTCAATGACCTTATTGTCGGCTGCAACCTTAGAGCACACCACAGGGTGCAAAGAAGCTGACTTGGTATTGGATCGGTCCAGGACACCTTGCTTGACGGGCCACGTCTCATTGGCTAGCGTTTGCGAACGCGCTCGTGCCGGTGATGTCGGCGAAGAGGTGGGAGGGGTAGCGAAGTCATCTTCGTCCGAGTGGTTATCGCGAACTGAAGCTTCCGCTGCGGATGCGGTAGTGGTAACTGTGTGAATATTACGGGGTTCGTCAAGGCGTGTCTCGTCTAGCACATCAGTATCCTCGTCCTTGAATGGCGGGGGCGGTTCAAGCCTGCCGGCCAAAACTTCCTTCAGCTCTTCCGTGGTAGCAGAGACAAACTTCTTATCGCGCAACGGGTTGCCAGCGAGGCGGATCATGGTCAAGTTGTCCATTCTGCTAATTTCGGGCGGTACCACGCGAATGTCATTGGCAGAAAAGTCGACATGCCTAAGCTTCTCGAGAGCGGTGAAACCTTTGGGGAATTCAGGAATGGTGTTCTCGTCGGCGTTCAAGGTCATGAGACTAGACCAGGAGCTGACATCGGGGAGCTCTTGCATTCGGTTCATCGATATGATGAGTTGATGGACAACGGGCAGGCTAATGACTGATCCTGAAGGTACCAAGCGTGTCAACTGGTTGCATGATAGGTCGAGCATCTGAAGGTTCGGAAGTGACTCGGCCCCATCTTCAATGAGCGTGCCTGTGAGCTTGTTCTTCTTCACCAGCAATTCCGTCAGTGGGAGCTTGGACAGACTCGCAAAAGGCAGGGATTCGAAGCTATTCTCGTTCAAGTTAAGAACGCGCAGCCTGGATAGACTTTCGATGCCAGGAGGAAGCGATGATACGTTATTTCCGTGGAGGTCAAAGATTTCGAGGTTCTCTAGGTTGGAGAAAATGGGATCGAGAGGTCCGTAAAGAAGATTATTGGCGAGCTTCAAGTCTCGAAGGGCCTTGACCTGGGTGATGACTTCGAGGCAGTTGTTTGCAAGGCGATTTTGCGACTGCTCCTGTTAGTCAAGTTTGACACTCAGGGTCGCATGGGTTGACTTACCAAGTTTAGCGATGTGAGCAGAGGAAGCTGTCTCAATCCCATCGGCAAAGAGATTAACGAGTTACCGTGCAAGTCCATCGCCTCCAAGCCGCCAAAGATGTTGCCGTTCGAGTCTTCATCCTGTGCCATTCCCTCTGCTGTGATATCAGGGAAGATGGTGTCGTCGATGGTCTCCAGCTCGTTATCCGCAGCTACGAAGCGAGTCAGATCGACAGTCTCAGCCCATGAGCCATCGTAAGTGCCCATAGACTCTGAGTCATACATCTTGAGAACCTCGACTGGAATCTCCTTGAGACCCATGGCTGCGATGTTGAGTCTGCCACTGCTGCGTGCAGTGCCGAGCCGCTGCTGAATAACCTTCTTTTGAGAGTTCTCCGATCTCTTGGTGTTGAACGGGTCTTGCGTGACAGCGATGCCAAAGTCGAAGCCGTCGTCCTGTGGGATAATCGGAGGTTCAGGCTGGGCTGGCGCAGAAGAGCCCGTGACCGGCGCTGCGCTCGGAGCTGATGATGTCTCCGCAGCTTGTCTGTCTGCAGCGCGCTTGGCGGCCCGGGCTTTGGCAATCTGTTCCCGCAGAGCATTGGAGGACTTTGTCGCAGCAGTTTCGCCAGATTCGTCTGTATCTTTCGAAGCAGCAGGGGCCGGAGCACCGATCTTTGACGGTCCGGGCCTTCGTAGAGACCCATAAGACCTGGACGGTGTCAATTTCTTGGGCTGAGGCGAAGCAACGGACGCTGGAGCTGGCTGGGTCATTGTTGGCAGGGAAGGCTTTTTGTAGAGTCCTTGGACCGAGGCGCGGGGCTTCAGAGGGCGAGCAGCAAGGGTCTTTGCTCCAGCCTTGGGCGGTGGTGCCATGATGCCAGTTGGTCTCGTTGGGCTGGGGCTCTGGTTGACTGGTATCGCTGAAGTAGTCGACGGGCCGGAAGGTGAAGATTGGGGGGTAGCTCTCATCGATGGTGCTCGGAGGGAACGGATACTAGATACACGGCGGGCAGGGGTACCCTCAACGGCGCCCAGAGGCCGATACGCGTTCGCAGCCGGTCGAGCGTTGGCGAAAGGGTTCTCTTCAGCACCAGAGCTCGAGCTTGGTCTGCTATGCCGGGATGTAGGCCGCATGGAGCCATCGGAAGTGTAGCTTGAACCAGGCCTCGAGTGGCCACTACCGGCGCGTGAACGGGGTCGCATGGTTCCATCTGGGTCAAAGAACGTCGACGTTTTCTTGCTGAGAGAAGGAGAGGATTGCAGTTGCTGAAGGGTCTCGATTGTTCGTTCGGAAAGGGACGGACGGGGCTTGAAGGGACTTGTCCTCAGCGTGTCAAAGTCTGGTAGATCAGGCTCGGCATCATCGTCGGCAACTTGTGGGCTGCTCGTGTCTTTCATCAAAGTAATCGGATCACCGAGACGACTCGAGCTTGGGGTAGCTACATTGTCCTCTGATGGGCTTCGCGTAACGCTTGTCGAACGTGGAGTGAATGATCGTTGGGGTTCTTCTGGAGGAGTAGGGGGTTTCTGGATTGTCGATTCCTTTGGTTGCAATCGAGGCACGCTTCGGGAAGATCTCAGTGCGGTAGTCGGAGCTCTCAGCTCTGTCTTTCTCGTAGTTGGAGGCTGAATTTCGCGTTTCGGTCTTGTAGCGATGGTGCGAGGTTCAGGTTGCTTGAGAGAAGCGGCTGGGCTCAATTGGTCTCGCGAAGCGGCTGGGCGGAGGCGAGGATTCCTTATACTCGAGTTCAGTCCTTCTCGGGATGGGGATGGTCGAACAGCGGGAGCTGGAGCTGTCGTTCTTGGGAGAGGCAGACGGGACATGCGAGGGATTCCACTAGGCCTCCCAGGTGCCTGTTTCTCATCCATTGTGGCGGATCAGGTATGTGTCCTACAGCTCTAAGAGCATGAAGAAGGTCGAAAAGGTGCTTCCTGAACGCTCGGGAGCGTGGAATAAGAAGAAGTTTGGGGGAATATTCTTGTGGAAATATCGAAGTCTGCGCACTGACGGTCGGCAATGGTCTAGCGTTGCTTTGGCGCGTGGGAAGCTGTTCCGTTTGCTCCTAAACGGGTCGGGAACTAACGAAGGTAATTTCAAGTTGAGATGACGCAACGTCGCGGTTTCTCGTGTGCAAACGGCAGCTCGTCGGTTCGCATTCGAGTACTTAGCTAGTGATGGTCGAGTTCAAGTCAGCTTTCGGATCGCATTTGTAGTTTGCATACAAAAGAGACAGGCAAGAGAAGAAAGCAAACAACGGCAAACCTACCAGAATGTCCTCTCCCGTCGCAACGGACATTGGATGGACCCTCTCTCGACCTGGGGCCTAGTCAGGCGAGTGATGAATCGGAAATCTGCAAGAGAACAGACAATAATGACCAGGGGGTGAATTCTTGGGATCGACAAGGATGGTCGATTTGACCAATTTCCCGGCACGAGGAACGACGTTCCCGGCGCCTGTATCCCCAGCCAATTGTAGCGTATCGCAGCATCTTCGGCTGCTGACATAATGCCCCTCTTCCTCGCCCTTTTGGGCCTCGCTTGGCTCTAGCGCCAACAGTCAGCAACGGTTCCTGCATGTCTCGACTTGGTTTCTCCCAAAACTCCACTGCCGATCGAGGGGCAGAAATTCAAAAAGCAAGCCAGAAGACAGGGGAAAATGAGCCGGAAGAAAGATGATGTGTTCGCTGCTGATGCCCAACGTTGATAAGGCTCACATGAAATATGTGAACCGTGAAGGTGAGAGGATGGGCGAGCTGCTTTCTGCCGATGATAAGGCAGGTAGAATAAAAAGCTGAACATCGGCTTACCTCTCTTCTTTACCACCTTATTTTTTTCTCTTTGGATTTATGTCCTTTTCTGCTGTTTTTGGGCTTTTCAATGGTTTATTTCGATCTGGACCGCCGTCACTTTACGGAAGGACATCTGCTTGATCGAAAGTTAGTCTCTTGGATCTGATGAAACCTGAGATGAGGGAAGAAGCCAGTTTCAAAGCGTCCACGGCAGCCGGCAAGCCCAGACGAACGAACCCGGACAGCCAGGGAAGCCCCTGGTCCTTTCAGTCTGGAGATGAGGCAGTCCACGGCCCAGTGACAGCAACTCTTCCGTCCCGTCCCTCAAAAGCTTCAGGGATGGCAGGGACTCTCCCCCGCGCAATAATATTGGAAAATTTGATAAGGCGGTCCAGATCTTGCGTCGGCCGTTCGATCCATGGTCCAGCATCATCTGCTCTCGTCCCAAGTTGCGATTTGGGACGCCATCTGGCCGATTTCAAGTCGGCCGAGAAGGAATACCGGATGACCTAAGGGATGAGAGGAGAGAGAAAGAGATTGAGATGGCTTACAAGTCCTCCTGCCGCCCTCCTCCTCGGCCTCATATACTGTCCCTTATTCTCAGCCGGGAGCTCCGGGCCCGAGCTAGTGGTCGTAGCCCGGCTGACCGGGGCAAAGCCACATCATCATCGGCTGCTTTGCTACGATCCAGGCGTTCCTCGAATCGTAGACCTGGTTACGAAGGTCTCTTCGCATGGAACACCGGTTGCAGGTACGAGAATCCTCGCGGGCCCCGATGTGCTCGAAGAAGAACTGTCCCAGGAGCCACTTCCCGCAAGTACCGCACCACTGCATGTAGTCGACCTTCCCAGGACGTTCCCCAAGAGATCTCTCGTTGCTCAGGAACAGAGAGTTTGTCGGAAACCAGGGAACCCAGCCCGGTACGCCCCAACTAGGGCCAATGAGGATCTTCTCCGTGGCCCAGAAGCCGGGGGGAAGAACGGCCGGGCGGTTGATGATGTCGATGAAGACTCTCACCAGGCCGGAGACGACCGCAGGTTCGTAGGGGAGCTCTGCGGGGGGTTCGTAGCGCAGAAGCCGTCCGTTGATGCTATCCCAGTCACACATGTCGACACCCAACCGCCTCATTCGGTCAAACTGCCATTGTTCCGTTATAGGGTGTAGTTGATTGCCAGCAAGGACGTGCACATTTGGGACCTGTTTTCGAGGGAATTTTAGCCTGAAGTAATCTCTTGAAGGGTGTCTCACTTACACGCGGATAATCCATCGTGATGATGATGCTGCTGCTGCTGCTGCTGCTACCGATGCTACTGATGATGATAATGATGAGGAGCGGCTTTTGGACGGGTGTATCGATGCTGTGAGATGGGTCGAGATGATTCTCAAGGCGACTGGTAAACCGTTGGAGGATTGCGTAGACGAAGAAAGAGATATCAGGAAAGACAAAACGTTCAACACCGGAGCACCTACAATCATGGGAGCGGGCAAGGTCCTGGTATGACATACGTTCTTTACCTGCTGTGGTCATCTGGGTCATCTTTCCACCCGGGACAACTCTTGCTGTGGTTGCCATGTAGCCCGGGCATCTATCATGCCGCTGGTCACTTAATGCTGTTCAGATCTCATACCTTTCTGAGAGAACAGGAACTGCCAGGTAATGCTGTTTGAAAGGACGAATATCCTTCGCCCTCTATTTAGGGCATATGGCCATGTTAAAATATCTGATCCCAAAGGACCATGATAAATGGCCTGTTTGGTTTGAGAACAAGTGACCAAGAAGATGAAGAAAATCCCAAAGCGAGACGAGATGATTCAAAAGGGGAACTTCTCCAACTTCAAGCCTCCTTGAACCTTCGAGATCAAGCTAACTTCAACACAATCAATGGGCGGAAGGCTGTTGTCAACGGACAATTCCAACAGTGAAGAGATGATCAAAGGATTGACCTAAATTATTAGAGAATCAAACATTCGAGGAAGCACAAGATGCCAATATGGAAAGTCTTGTAAGGTTGTTCGAGCATCTTCTGAAGCTTGAAGGAAACGGGGGCACAAACTAGTTACATCTCCGAAGCGTCTGACGGTATTGCAGCACGGGGCATTCAATAAGACAGAGCACTCGTTTCGGTTAAACAGCCAGCCAGGAATGGCGAAGAATTACGCAAACGAAAGGAACGAATAATCTTGCTGACGTCCGGAACGAAGACTATTGACCATAGACTCCAGATGGGCCATCACCATGAGGAGCGTCACTCATGAGACTTCGACACGCGACACACGGAAAGCCGCACCACCGAGGCGATGACTACCCTGAATATTGATAGTGCTTTCAGCGCCGTGATCATTTCCAATTAACAGACGCCATTATCAGCATCACTAGCGGTAGGAACGCATTGCAGAAAGAAGACGAGTTTGCTCATTGAATTCCATAGGGGTATCATAGACGATCAGGCAAAGCTCTGTCTAGTTACGTTTGCGTCAGACTGCTTCCTCCTTCCGTAAAGAGCAAAACTCCATCATAACCTCGCAATGTTCCAAACCGAGAGAAAAAATAGCGTGTGAAAAAGCGGCTTATAGGCACGCATTAGACATTATCACGCCGTAAGAGACAAGTGTCCACAAAGTATCGACCAGAAAATTCCCCTCTTCCATTACAGCGACCCCGCATTGGACGATAGCTTTGGGCGCAGAAGCCTCTTGCAAATCGAGCGGTGCCAGCTAACAATCATTTCGGCCGCAGTCGCACCTCCCATTGCTGGTGTGAAGTATGATTCTAGGGCGAGCCCGATTCAAGATTGTCCTAGGCCCGGTCCCGGTGATAACTTGCGGGTGATCGCTGTTGTGGGATAGATAGGTAGGCCGCATTGCCGATGCGAAAGTCCATGTCGAGTTGAAGACCGGGCCGAACTTCGTAGTAGGAACTGAAGTAATTGATAAAAACGCCGCAATGAGGGGTATTGCAAGGAGCAGTTGATCTTCGTAAAGCGTTCGGGAAGAGACTGTGGTATGATCGTGGCTTCGTCAATAGCTTTGGCTTCGACAAGAATCAACCAAAGAACAAGGAAATCTGCATCTTTGAGGCCTAAGAAACAGAGAGTCAGTGACGATGAACATCGGTAAGGCACCTTCGGAAGCAGCTCCAGGACTTTTCGCTTACCTCGGCTCACAGAAGCGGAATCGCGGTGTTTGGCGTCTTTCCAGCTTCATAATTATGATTGCGTGACCGCTCAGCTCGAGCCGAAAGAAGGAAGGCTGCCAGACTGAAGTTGCGGGACGCCGTTCCTCACAACGACGGAGCCGGTTCCGGAGTGCGTTCGCTCGCCGGGAGACGTGATGTTGAGGGGGCTGGTGTACGGAATCTGCGCCGCAGCCATCAGGCGCTGGGTATGTTCGTACATGGAGAGGGTGTAAGCGTCCATGCTGCCCGAGAACTGCCGGGTCGTCGAGGTAGAAGTAGTCGAAGTCGACGAGTTCGTGGTAGTCGAAGCGGGACGGGGGATTTGCGAAGGCATCTTGGGAAGTTTATTCTGCAAGTTTAAACCGTTTAAGGCAGCGTACGACTCGAGCAGCTGGCAATGAGAATGTGCCCTGGATAAGGTATTTATAAATGCAGATCTCCTTTTCCCGCAAAACCCCGTGGCTGCGGACTGCCCGTGTGTGCCACTTGACTTGACCCAGCCCGCCCCGGCTCGCCTTTTCAATGATCACTCCACTGCCAGATTGAAACCTTGTCCAACTTTCCAGTCTCCAGGGACCTCAGAAAAACCTGATCCGGCGCTGGAAAGGATGGGGTGGGGAGAAGCGCCCAATAACTGCATGCATGTTCCCTGTCCAATGTCACGCGGGGACCCTCAGGCGAAGGGGGAAAAACCAAGCCGTCTGCGCCATTCCCCCCTCCTTCAGGTCTCTGGTCAGTCGTTTGCGTTCCCGCCCTCTTGTCTCTCTTCTTCGGGCCTGTCAAGTGTCCGGCAATTACTGTCAGGGTCCTTTGCCATGCTCCCCCCCCTTGGGCCCTTGGGTCCTTAAACCGTTGGAATGATCGCCGTAATACCTTAATTGTGGCTGTATTCGTCCCATGTGTCCAATCACTGACCCCTATTTTCTTTTCTGGTGCCTTGGACCCCTCTTTCCCCGGGCATATGAAGGACGGCGAAGCCACACTGGCCAATGCTAATTGTCATACTAAAGACAGCCGGTTCAGAACAGGAGCCCGGACAGCGCGAATATGCTCAGTTCTTGCGGAGACACGACAACCACGTCAGTCAATGCCTGGCTACTCTCAAAGATCAAGCGGGGGTTATTGGCATTTTGCTGCTTTTGATAAGCAAGGGGTAATGTGACGGCCACGATGTCATCGTCATGCTCACGTCACCACTTTTCTATTTAACACAGCAACACATTGTATCCAGACTGTCGGGCAAACCCGTACCTCGGGATCTGGATCTGGGTAAACAATCATCACAACATTGGCTCTCAAGCATCTCAAGAAGAACCTGAAGCAGCCACAGAACCATCATCAGCTGTGAGTAGTTGATGTCTTACAATCTGCTGTTTGTGGTCGGGAACGTTGGACAACGGACCATTTCCTCCTGGAGGCCGCCGCTGAAGAGGAAGAGCAGCTCCGACGCTTCTTCGGCAGGCCCCCGGCTAGATCGGATCTCCTCACAATCAGCTGCAGGTTTATTGGACCCCTGGACGGCTCGCTCACGGGCCAACGGAGCCAGCCCCGTCCCGCCTCATTCACCTCCAGAGTCAAGAAGGACTGCCTATGCGTACTCCAATCCTGGTGACCGCGTAATACGCAAGAACACTCACAAAGCACCTGACATTGGACGCGTCTAGACCGGAGGAGAACATCCTCTATGAAAGAGCCTCTCAAAACCGGCGACGCCTATGCCAAGTCCCAACTACCTATGACTAGTCGCGGTGCCGGAGTTAATGCTGACAAGAGTCCCACAAAGGAAATAAGCGGGCTAAGCCACTCAGGCAAGCCACTTTGGCCGGAGTTGGAGGAAGAGCAGACCAACGCAGGTTGAAAGATAGAGCCCAATCACAGAAACCTGTTCGTGCGACCATCTCAGCAAGAGCAGTACTTCCATTTCACCATTGGCTTCATCATGATAGCTTACGACACCGAAAGGCACCCACTGGAGGTGACTGTCGCGTCCTTACGTAGCCCATTGTGAACCGTGCGTGTGACTGGGATTGAGCTGGCCCTGTGGCTGAGAATGTGGATAATTTTGATGGGAACGCTGTCTACGTCATAGCCATGTTGCAAGCTGGAAATTGGTGAATATCCGTTTTGAGAACAAGAAAGATTCAGCAAAGACCAGGTTGTCGCCTACTTCAGATAGCACGTAACATCATACTTGACTTCGAATGTGTCTTTATCTTGTTTTAGATGTCCATCGGTTCTACTACCCTACAAGAATAATGGCAACGGTAAATGTTGACTTCGTGAATTATCTGCTACAGCTTGGTTGGATCTGTTAGAGAATCAATATCTCTGCTGAAATAGTCGAGGCGAGAACCAGTATCACAGTACCTAACGGCGTACGCCAGTTCATGTCAGCGTAGATCACTCGAAGCCATGGACTCACTCGTATCATTGCAACCCGTTCATTCGTTCGCCGAGAAGTAATATTGGTTGACGTTCCTACTTGATGTTCTTAGGCATCAAGAATTCGAACAATGATTGAGTGCCCAATTAGGGGTTGCGGCAGATCACAGCACATCATGGCAGGAAGTCCCCTGAACACAGTGTTACAAAACTCGGTAAGCCCTGTCTATTCTCCTCGAAAGATCAAGAGTTGTCTAAATTCAGATAACGTGATTCGTCGATCGAAGCAATGTTGGGATCCTGGATACCCGAGCAAGGAATCGACATCAGAAACCTGTTCTTCGTCAACAACTGGCCTGATTTCTTTTCCTTCGCCGTTCCCGACGACACGGCACTTTTCCTGTTGCTCTGCACTACTCGTGTACTCGCCCAGACGTTTCCCCATTCCCAGTTGTCGTTGCTGAGAGTTCGCGCCCGCTCAGCCGTCTGAGCACCACCCCAGGGGACTATGAAGCAGACCACATACAGGGGCCCTGAGATTCCCGAGCCGAGATGGAATTCTGCCAGCTTGATTGTTCTATGATACGAATGCTTTCAAGCAACTCATAATAGGACGGGCCAAGGAAGCCTTGGATCACTACTTCCCCTCAATCAATCCTTCTTCTCGATGCGGGCGGCAGTGGTACGGTGGAATTTGGGAACTATTGTCTCGAGATCGCCATTATGAGATCATTGCTTGCTTTATTTCGCGCTTTGCAGCAATCTCCACACAATTCACGGTGTGTCATACTGTCCACAGAACATGATACATTCAGTGGCTGCAGTGAATCACCGCGGACGCTGAATGGGATGACTGAGTTGTAGTCTCCAAGACTGTGGACAGTCACACACTCGATAGAGAACAAATAAATTTACCAGCCTGAGAAGATGATCCCCATAGTAGGTGATGTCTGTAGACAGTGTGTTGCAGCCAGCTGTGTAAAACAGATGGACTCCAACATCTTCGTGTATTTTGGACCAGGCCTCAGCGGTCCACTTTCGTGGGGCTCACCCAACGCCTTGACTTGCTGATCATCTCCGTTTACTTGTTATGTACATAATCAGTCATCCAGTCAAGCCGAGGATACGACGCTTTGAGCCATAGTATCTCCCGGTGTTGATTCGTCATCTCGCTCACCAAAGTGAGGCTTGCTTCGGAGCACAAGTCAGTGCTTCGGGCCCATAGGTTGTCATGCCTCATGACATTTGAGGGTTGTGACGTGCGTAAAGATGCTCGACATTATCATTACATGTATCCAATAGTAGATGGATGCTTTTGTGATGCTTTGTCCACCCAGGAAACCAGAATTCGCACCTTACACTACACACCCTCTGGGAATTGCTTGTCAAACATGACTCCGACGAACACCATGAGAACCGCAGCATATGCAAGAGTGGATGCGAAGACTTGGTCCAGCTGATCAACACAGCCAACAATGAGGAACCCAAAAGCAAATGTGAACGCCGTAGCAACTCCGAGGTTGAGATACAAGTCTCGCTGCAGTACTAGCAGCCACATAGGACCGACAAGGAAAGCCCCTCCAACCACTGCGCCCATGATCTTCCACCAGAAATTGCGACGGAGCACTGCCTTGGCCGATGCGTTCCTCGTTCCGCCAAGAGGCTCTGGGTTCTCTTCATTGCCCCAAGGACCAGTGGGCAGAGCATGAAGCTTCATGGACTCGTACGTCATGCGCGGCGGATCGGCGAAGTTTCTAGCACCTACTCCGTTCTTCAGCATCACCTGGTCGAGAACGTAGCTGTCTTGGTATCGTTCACTCGACGCGATGAAGAAATCGAATGCCTGTTGGGAGACTTTCGTCATGTACTCATAGTCTTGTACAGCTTGGGCTTTTGGTTGTTAGCTGGAAGCCTCATGTGCTGCATGTATCCCTGACCTGATAGAAACTGGATGCGGGGAGGACGGAGCGCTCTTCTGAAATCACTTACTGTATTCCCTTAGCAGGCCTGCTAAGAGTCTTCCATCCTTTTCAATCGCTTCGGCTTCCGTTTTACCACCTCGGACTTGCATCTTAACTGCCTTGTCCACAAGGCCAACTTGCAGAGCTCGGAGGTGCATGCGCTGCATCTCTGCAATATTGACACGATACCCCCAGTCACCCATTTGCAACTTATTAAGCAAACGGTAAATTGTATGCAGGATGGGCGGTTTCCTAGACACCAGCCTTATGAAGTTCTTGGCGTGGAGCTTGGTAGCAATTTTCCACGCAAATTCGCTATTTGACTCGGTCTTGTCTATGTCGTCTCTGGTCGACTGGGAAGCATCCATTTCGAATGGGCTATCGGGCATCTTCTCAGAAAGCCGATGTGTTGCATGCGCTGCTTTTAGAATGGTATTGATCGCACTCTGGACCTTTTTGGCTTCTTCATCCTCCATGACTGGGGCGTCGCTCTTGACTGATGATCGCTGCATCATCACTCAACTCTGGAGGAGCGTTGCCAGACCGCAGTGTTGTTTGGGCAAGCAATACTCCTGGCAAATGAAGGTCAAGAGAGTGTATAATCCCTCCAAGTTTGATAGTTGTCCCGCAGATAGAGTTAAGCTTACGGAATTTTGGCGTGGATGAACAAGTTGAACCGGATGCTCCAGACGACTGCGCTAGCCCACCCGACGTTTAGAAAGAGTGCTTTGTTTGGGTACTTTATCATTGCCACAAGTTCTGTCCTGTTGAAAGAATGTCTAATGGCTCGAAGATTTTTCGTGTTTCAAGAACACGTCGTTCGGAATGCACGCGTGTTTTGGCTCTTCGTAGGTAGAGGTGTCCATAGGATCTTCGTGATGGCAATGGGGTTGGTGCAGCGCCCCAAAACGCCACGGCGTAGACCAACTGCCGTAGTGCTACAACCCGTCTCTTGCTATCCAAAAAAATGCGTGTCTCAGGTGATTCGAGATCGGGGTAAATAGACTCCATACACTGCAAAGTCGGTAAACGCCACCTCAAGCTGGCAATCGATCCACTGGGAGACTTTTAACCGCAGATTTTGCATTCCGCTGGTTGATATGCAGTGGTTTCGGTGCAATGAAGTATTATGCCGTGTCTCAATTATAGATGCAAAACGTCCTCCGGGCGACAGCCAATTCTAACACAGACAGACTTTTGTGTTGATGAGTATTAGTTAGAACTCGGTGGAAAGCGACTTGGTAGAATGAAGGGAGTATCCCGTGCCTCTGATAGGCACGTGGCTGCAAAGGCTAACAGAGACCAGCAACGACGGTTCCAATCTTCCAACGCAAGGATCGCCGACTATCAAGGTAAGCTCAATATTAGTGTTATGTTTTGTTTTGCCACGTTCCTAAACGCTCAGCCGTAGCTGATGTGTGTGTCGCTTCACATGCAGTCTCTTGCTGGGATGGCTACATGTGAAGTACTTCACATGGACAAATACTCGTACTTCAGGGATCCGGTGCAGTCTCCCACGGGCTTCTCTAGTTTTATCAGGACACCATATCTACCTTTTCGAAGAACCAGACGCCAATGACCAATGGTTCCCAAGAGGCGTTATGCTGCATGCATACTTTATCAATCTTTAAGCTCGACCGGAAATTATCCCAGAACGCAGTCGACTTGACCACAGTAAGTTGATATTGACAACTCCCAGTGACAGGATATATAATGAATAACAAGAGCTTTCAGAAGCTATCTTCCCACAGACTAAAGGACAATGGGGCTCGAATCAAGACGGTCGCCGGTAAACTTGGTATTCGAAAGCCATGGTTCTCCTGGCAAAGGCGGGAAATTCCTCCTTGCCTACGACTCAGAAAGGCACTGCGAATCTCAAGTCAGGTTTCTGGCCAGTCACAAGGGCGTCACAGCAAAGACTGCGGAAACATTGATGGATGATCGGACGGTCTGGCAGATTACCGTTGACGGCCTCAATGTACAAGCAATTGAATCAGCAAACTCTGATGACGGATCATCGGTATATCGTCTTACTGTTCCCAGCTCGAATGCAGCGCTCCGGGCAATTCAGTGCTTGGGACTTCCAGACACTCATATGGAATGTAGCGAAGACTCGGTCCGATGGTTGATAATCGTTAAGTCCACCTTTACGCAAGCTGAATTGGACAAACTGGCGTTCACGGATGTCGAGCGGGCCCAGATGTCAATGGCCATAGGAGCTATACCCAGGATATCGAAGCCTGCGCCCAAACCAACCCCGCGTATAAATGAGGAGGATGACGTAGCTCTACCTCAAGCACCCGTCTCTGGGCCAGCTGTGCCTGTAGGAGAATCTGGCAAGCCAAAGAAAACTGGGAGAGCCAGAGCTTTTATGAAACGTTTTGGCTTGTAATCCGAGTAGAAAATGATAATCTAGGCACCCTTTTCTCTCATCTAATAGCACTATGCCCCTTCTCATACTGCTATATCAATGTTCTAATAACCATGTTGCCAAAACCTTCCAACCCACCCGAGCTTGTAGAGGCTTAGCTGTACCTGTGCCACCCAAAGCATGCTTCAGGCCATGGACGGATCAAATGGAGGCACCTATTACCTATAGACTTTCGGCTCTTCGGGGTATCACGGTTGGGGTAGGGAATGGCGGAGGAAGCCTTGAAAGACACCTCGCTCCTTGTTGTCACGAATAGCGAATTCCTCGTTACTATTGTTTCTGCTGAGACGGACCATGGAATGGGCGAATGATCGACTAAGCTTAAATCATGACCTCGCAGCATCATATTGGAGTCGGAAGGCTACTCATCGTGTCGATGACATGTCACCATCATCGCGAATCGCGATTGGGCACATGGAAGGTACTCGTCGGCAGACTAGAGGGCTTATCTCGGGTCGAGATACAAAGCAGCACACAACCTGCGACCAAAACGAAAGTAACGTAAGGATCATAATGAGAGCGGAATCGTTTGGAATACAAAGCCGAAATGGACCTCCCGTCTATAGCCAGCCTTGGGATATTGGGTTCAAAACATGCCGTAGTCATGTAGGAGCTTTGAAGGAACAATATTGAGTCATTACCAACAATCGCAACATCGGTTACGTTGAGTTCCCCATGGGGGCTACCTCTGCATCGACTGCGCCCGAGTAGTGCCGAATTATCCGATTCTACTTAGGCACTGGAGCGGGTCGTCAGACTCCTCACTCTAGCTTGACTTGGACATAAGTATGTTGAAGGATCATCGCTTATTGGTAGCTGCATACGGATATTCGCTTTCTAGGCTTCTTTTTAAGGAAGCGCACAAATCATGATCATCAATCCTGTCTCCCTAACTTATACAAGTAGTTGTCAGACTGCGCCGTATGCGGGGATGTTGACAAGGGCGACTAAGTAGGTACGTGTGGCATTGAGATCCTTCGTCGGTTGTCGCTCGAAGTCTATCATGGCTCGTATGTAGGTGATCTTGGTACTTTTAGAAGTCTAAGAAGGATTCAATCGCATAGCCGCGAGGATGTTTGATCCTCGAGAGGCAAAGAAACGGAATACTATTCGCGGAAATTCAAGAGAGAACGAGTTGAACATGATGGTTGGCGCGCCTGGATTGCATTGACGTCGAAGGAAGGAAATGTCTGGTGGCTGCCAAATGAGGAGTACGAAGCGACTGATATGGTCAAGCAGAGCACAGTTGAGACTGTTACAGAAAAGTATAAAAGCTTCTCTAATTCCACGCTTCAACTGCTTCTATTTCTCGTATCTAACAAGCAAGTCGAGCATCTAATCCTCACAGTCATCTCGTCCAACCAGACTCCAACCAGTGAGTATAAAGCCTCAACTTTCAAGTTCCTACTATCTCCAAAGTACTACAAGACTCACGATTCCAACACAGACTTTGATCATTCGATCTATTCAACCAGTCTCAACCACAATGAGGTTCACGGCATTCGTCCTTACGGCTCTGGCAGCTGCTTTCGTATCGGCCAGCCCGATCGCCGAAACCGAAGCTCCGGCATTGACCTTCAGAGGTGAACAGTTGGAAGCTCGCGCCTACTGGTGCACCGCTTGCAAGAATGGAAAGCAAACCTGCTGCACCGCCACCCAGTGCAGCTCTGGATATCCGTGCTAAGTGATGAGCTTGGAGCAAGCTTAGCCAAACCAGTATCGGATGTCAAAAAAGCAAAAACTCTGTGGGCCGTTATTTGGCATTGCGAGTGGGCATAACTATGGCGGTCTACAAATGGCAGTCTATATCGAGCAAGCAATAGCTGAAATGACTTGGTACTGAGATGAAATAGCACTCATGGGCCTCAATGCTGAGCAATTATCATATACCTACTCTACAGCCTACCAGTCTTTCATCGGGCTGACTTCATACTGCAACATTGTGGCCGATAGTCGACAAGTTGTACTTTCTACCCTTTGTTTTGGTTATGTCCAATCTTTCGGCCCTGGCCAACTCACATCTTCGGCGCTCCTGCATATATGCCTCGTTGTAGCTTTCCTGTTCAATTACTTGTAGCACAATGTGACTCTTAGTGAAGCTCTGAAACTAGATCTAGTCTACCACTCTCTTGAAAATTGGGCGAAGACCCAGTAATGGATGAGGACCTAACGAGGTTATCAACTCATCCGAGTTCCGCTGACAGGTTGCTGACGAGTTGCGGACAACGTTTGCAGTGGATTTAATACAATTCCCAATCCCCGTTTCCTCCGATTATCGAGCGGATCTCCAGGGGATTAAGAGTTGTTTGGCAGCATCCGATTGCTGATCGACAGGCCCAGGTGGAGGGCAAAGCAGGGGTTTGACTCGCAAACCCATAACAGAGACACTTAATCCCTCCATTTCACCAATGACGCCCGTCTCTCGACTGGAGAACTGCCGATGTCAACGTTGAAGAGTGTGGGGTGCTGTCCACCAATTTCCGATGAAAGGCGAACCGTGCAACGTCTTGTTTCCTGTTCGGGCAGCACAGAGTCACGATGTTGGTGGAGCATCGGTCCATTGATGGATGCCATTCAGGAGTCGGAACTGCTAGGATGTCGAAAAATTGCGAAGAAGCCCCCCGAGTTCCGGAGGACTTCCGTGATATAATTCTAGAGTCTCTCCTGATGTTGAAGGGATGGTTGCCAAGCCACTTCCCTCAACTTCAGTCAGTCGCTTCAGTTACAGAGAGTCGCCTTCGTCATGATGTGCAACGCAAAGTTCGTGGCCACCTTTGCCAGCCTCCTCGCCTCAGCGAGCGCAGGTCCCAGCGTGCAACTCGAGAGCGGCCTCACGGTTCAGGGCCGGATCGCCCCCGATGCCTCCAACGTCGCCGAATTCCTTGGCATCCCCTATGCCGCACCGCCTCTTGACGATTTGCGCTGGGAACCCCCTCAGCCCTACGTCGCTCCCCAGTCAAACTCTCCTTTCGCCAATGGAACCGTTCTCAACGCCACGACACTGCCGCCTTCGTGTTGGCAGTACATCTCGATCCACCCGGCCATCCAGCGCGTGGATGTGCCCGAGTTCATGATTGGCGATGCTGGTATGGACGAGGACTGCCTCACGGCTAGCGTTTGGGCCCCTGCCGGCGCCGTTCCCGCCACCGGCGAGCAGCAAGCTTTCGGAGAAGGACTCCCAGTCATCATCTGGTTCTATGGTGGTGGCTTCGAGACAGGCGGCACCGATGTACCCTACCAGATGCCCCAGAACTGGATTCAGCGTTCTCAGTCGCACATCTTTGTCACCTTCAACTACCGCATGAAGCTTTTTGGTTTCCCTAACTCGGCCGCCCTCAGGGAGCAAAACCTCGGACTCATGGATCAGCGCTTCGCCGTTGAGTGGATCCGGGATAACATCGCACAGTTTGGCGGTGACCCGGAGCGCATGACTATCTGGGGCCACTCGGCCGGTTCCATCGCCGTCGACTACTACAGCTTCGCGTACGCCGAGGACCCCATTGTCCGAGGCCTCATCATGGACTCTGGCACGGCGCACTTGGACCAGCTGATGAACCACGACGAGACCCACTCCAACTTCACGTTCGTCGCGCAGCAGCTTGGTTGCGGCAACTCGACGACCGCCGAGGCTGAGTTGGCATGCATGCGCAAGATTCCTGCAGAGAAGCTTGAGAACTTTGTAGCTACTTACAAGGATTCCGAGGTCACGCCTACCATTGGTTTCTCTCCTCAAGTTGACAACAAGATTGTCTTTGCCAACTACACCGAGAAGGCTGCGCTTGGCGAGCTTTCCGACCTTGTAAGTTCATGTTAGGATGAGGTTAAAGCGTGAGTGATTTGCTGACAACTCGCAGCCCGCGATCATTGGTTTCAATGCCGCAGAAGGCCTGTTCCTCGCTCCTTACGATGCCGAGAACGGCCCCGACCCGGCCGTCGCTGACGCGTTGTCCTACCAGTTCTTCTGGTGCCCTGCTACCAAAACTACCAAGTGAGCATTCCAATCCATGTGACTATGTGCCCACCGCAAAGACTCCTATTCTAATTGACGAAATAAGTGAGCGTCTGGCTGCCGAAAGAACCACCTACCGCTACTACTACTCTGCCGTGTTCAACAACACCTCGCCACGCTCATGGATGGGTGCTTACCACGGCAGCGAGCTACCCATGATTTTTGGCACGCATGCCGACTTCCGTGGCAACTCAACCACCTTTGAGTACGCGCTCAGCCACGTCATGATGGATGCGTACGCCGCTTTTGTCAAGGACTCGACTGCAGGTCTGGATGCTATCGGATGGCCTGTTTACACGGCTGAGGAACGTCTGGTTCGTAGCTACGGCCAGAACAACAATGTCACCGTTGGCAAGCGCACTCTGTCTGACATTGAGACCGAGTGTGCGACCTTGGGGCTTTTGTAGATGAATTGGCTTCTCTGATAGCTACCTTAGTCTGTCTTACTTCTTGTCAATAAATTGAGAATCATGATTCATGAGATTCGTATACCTGACATGCATTATTGGGTGAATATGTGCACAGTCCGTGAGGCCGAATTTGCTCTTCTGCCCCAATTCTCTTCCAAGCGACCAATGAGTCTTATGTACATGTAGGTTGTTTGTACATGTATTTTTCGTCAAGAATCCTGTCGATATCTGCCCTCGACCGCTGGTACCGAAACTCGTTTCAAGTTTTGCTACTCAACTAGGAAACAGAGTCTAGTTGGCCAGAATTGCAGCCCGGACCGAAATTTTAAGTATAGAGTTGCAGAGATGAAATTTCCCCTGTGGTCTGGTAGTTTCCAGCTTGCCAGGAATGCGAAACACCAATGAAGTCTAGAGCTCGAGGCTCGTCCAAAGGCTGGAAAACATTTTGACTCTTTGTCGCTTCTTGAGGCATCTGGGCAAGATACATTCACCCAGACCTTGTTCCCACATTTGCCCTTTCATTCTAGATTTTCTGTCAAATCTTTCTACATTCTTGTCCAAGACCTCTTACAAGGAAGTGCAGAAGTTTAGCGTACCTAAAGTAATTAAGTAGGTATCTCAATGATGATAACGCCCAGCTTGCCAACGCTGGGTTTCGGAAAGAAGTCGAAAAGTCAACAACGAATGGAAATCAAAAAGCCTAAGCAACCTGCACCACGGTATTCATCACATCCCACACACATATCGTTCCCTCTTCAATCTGTGAATAGATCTCATTATGTTTGGTAGTATATACCATATACAGATGTGAACCCAAACATCCTGATCTCCTTGGCCATTCGTCTAAAGAAATTGGTATGGCATTGAATCATTCTCGCCTTTCGTCCTGTTACAATGCTTTCGTCTCAACTAGCCGTCCCAACTCCAAGAATGATCGCAACGTTGGATAGCTCCCGCCGTCTTAACAGTTCACTTATGAGATTGGATAAGGCAGCTCCAAGTATTCGACTTCTCTTGCATGACCTTCATTGCCCTCGTTTTCTCCGGGTACTGCGGCTTGAATAACCCCCGTCATTTGCGTCTACTGGGGCTCTCCTGGCCCCAGCTGTCCCATTCAACTGCGGCTTTGAAGGCATTGTGATTCCTGAGGACGGCTCATCATGCTTAGTCGACACACCATGATCATGTGCCATTACGATTAATCGTCGAGGGCTTTTCTTTTGTTTACCTTACTCTTTCTCGTCGCGTCCCTCGCCTTCCGGAAACCTCTTCGTTTCCTCAGTCGCGATCTTCGTTGCTACTGTCTACTCAATTTGACACCGACTGTTCCATCGCGCAAGTACCATCATCGAGATATATCATCGTAAGTCTCTCACTCTCCATCTACTGAATTACTGGAGACGCATAGCATATTGAGAAGCATTACTTACCGCGGGAATTCATAGCAGTTTCGATCGCTTTTTCATATCCATCAGAGCCCGTCACGTTTGCATTTCGCACGTCGCCAAACAGTTCCCTATTGTCACCCAATTCTTCAGTCACCCAGCTCTTCGGCTATCCAATTCTTCAGTCGTCCAGCTCTTCAGTCATCCAGTTCTTCGGTCAATATATCTCCACTCGTCCTTCAGTCGCACGGCCTTCATTATCCCCTCGCATACCTGAGTACCGTGAGTACACATTCTGCCCTAGACCTCTAATCTTGTGTCTCGACCTTGCGATACTAATCTTCTGCGTACTCAGTCACATCATGGACCACCGAGACATCCACGAGCAGCAGCAGCAGTCTAGCGACACCAATCTGAACCACATGACCAACGCTCCGACCCCGTAAGTATCCATCCCTGAACTCCAACATGTCCTCTCAATTTTTTGCCGTACTGATGAGGCCAAAACCCAGCAACAACTTGAGCGCCCATGATGATCATAGCCATCACGGCCAGCAGACTCATGGTTCTCAGCAGCCTCAGCACGGCATCATCTCGTAAGCATCCATCACTGAACTCCAATACCTCCTCTCAATTTCTGCGGTGCTAATAATGTCGAGAAACAGCAACACGATGAACGCCCATGGCAACCATGGTCAGTACGGCCAGCTTGGCCAGGACCACCATCGTGTGCCCGACCTTAACTCTTTCCCCGTCATGGCCCCGTAAGCCCCCATACCTCCACTCTTACATACGTTACCCTCTGATGTTCTACGATACTGATGAGATGATGGCCCAGTACTCTCTCAGGCAATTCGTTGTACAATAACCTGCCCATGCAGCTCCTCGGAGGTCTCCCCGTGCCCGCCCAGTTCCCTATCCAGTAAGCAATCCCCCATTTACCTCGAAAGTCTTCTCTCAAACTCTGCGATGCTAACCAAAAGCAGGCCCGTCAATGATCCCAGCGCCCAGCTGCAGCAGAACGTTCCAACTCAGGCCCACGGCCAGGCCCTTGGCCAGAGTCTTCAGCAGTATGTGCCCAATGCTGTCGTGGTGGCAGGCTTTTCCAACAACCTCCTGAACGCCATCGTGGCCAGTCAAGCCCCTACTGTCCCCCAGCCAAGCATCAGCGGACTCTCGGCCCCTCGTGCGTGCTCGAAATGCCGCAAGAACGGCAATGTGGCATGGAATACTCGTTGGCGGAACCCCGACGCAGAGGTGCTCGTCAGAAAGACGTTCGCCACTTGCAACCATTGCAAGTGGTCACCTAACCTGGCGAACGAGACAGCTCTGGAATGGGTCCGCAACAATGCGCCTTGGCTCGAGGATGACGTGAACGCATTCTGCTCCTGCTATTGGGGTGTTCCGGGTAACCACCCGCACCCCATGTGCATCGTCCGCACTCGCGTGAGTGCCGCCGCCGCCGCCGCTGCGCCCGCGCCTATTCCTGCCGTGCTTGCTCCCGCTGCGCCCGCTGCGCCTGCTTCCGCCGCGCCTGCTGGTCCCGTGGCCCCTGTTGCCCCCATGGGCCCTGCCACCGATGCTGATGCCGACGATGGTGATCTGCAGTTGTTCGTGGGACAGGACGAGTACAACTAAGGTAGTTTAGAAGTTGGGCGCCGCCCAGGACGAGAGAGAACTGCCGCGCTACTTGGCCGCGCTTTAGGCTGTAGATTAGAGAGCAAATCAAATATCGAAGCTCCAGAACGACGTTTCGATTAGTTTCTTTGGGGTTCAGTGACTCACATACTACAATGAATTTCTTTCATGATTTGGGGAGATCCTATTCCTGATTCACGTATTCGTAAGAGAATCCGTTGCGGCTAGTGGGAATCGAGGCTCGGCTGCTGGCAGTAGAGCATACTCCCGGCCCTATGGCTTATTACCTCGATGGGCCCTGCGGCTGCTGGCAGTAGAGCATACTCCCGGCCCTATGGCTTATTACCTCGATGGGCCCTGCGGCTGCTGATGCCGACAATGGTGACCCGGAGTTGTTCGTGGGAGAGAACGAGTATAACTAGGTTAGACGTTGGGCGCCGCCCAGGACCCGAGACAAAGTTTGGAGGCGGTGGGAACAACAGTGCGACATGGCTGCGCTTTGGGCCACGAGGCAAGTATAAAAAAAGTAGAGCGAATAGGGAGTATAATAGCAGATACCAATGTTCCAGGACAACGCTTTGTCTGGTTCCTCAGGCTGTGGTTGGTTGTGGCTATTTTGTTATACGTCGACAAGTTCTGTAAAGGAAGACGGCGGCGTAACATGGCTAGAAGAAGTCTCCATGTCCCTGGATATAACATCATCGGCAGGTATGGTTCAGTGGTTCACACGGCACAAAGTTTCTCTTTGACGTTTCGGGGGTATCCTATTCCTGATGTACGTATTCTTCAGAGAATCCGTTGCTGCCAATGGAAGTCAGGGCTCAGAGACATCTTACTTGTAGATTATGCTCCTGATCCCATGGATCTAATTGTAATCCTAGTAATCTACATGTAATATTGGCCGATGACCAGGGCGTCTGTTGACCCTGCCACTGGGGAGACGTGGATGACCACGCTCTTCACTCGATGTGTTTCCCGCGCCGCCGTGCGAGCACTGCGGGTCCTGCTCCCGGCCTCATGACTCTACTTGCCCCCGTGTTTCCTACCTCTGGTTTATATGGCCCCTTTTACTACCATGGCACCCACCTATGTTGCCAAAATAAACGATGAAGACCCTGAGTTACAGTTCTCGTAAACGGTAGAGCTTGATTTGCTGTACAACTGTAGGTTTTCTTCAGATAAGAACACGTTCGGGAATTCATTATCCCTCAACGCCTTGCTGGATTGCTAGTTGATTTAGTAGTTCGCAAATCACGACGTGTTTGTTTCATACTTTGGGAGTATCATATTCCTACCGCAGGTATTTATACGATATATGACAATCCGTTACAGGTCGTGGAACAAATAGCTCGGCCGAGGCAGGCCGAGGAGAGAAACCAGAAATGAGACCAGAAATGGGGAAGACAGGCCAGAAATTGGGGAAGACAGGGAATTGATTCGCGCGGAACTCCACAGCCGCAATTGCAGGTCGTGACTGGCTGAGGCCCTTGGGGGCGACGGCAAGAGAGAGGCTTGCAGCCGAAAGTCAAGGGGCATTCCCTGTCGACCTGGCAGATGCCTGCATGAAGATGGTGTCTATTTTCTGGGGGAATCGGATGGTGGGAGTGTCAGTCCCTCCAAATGGACGTGACCGCGTCTTTTGGTGTAGCCAACGAACCTCGAAATGGGCTTTTACATCGGGGATTAGGCCCACGACCGTAGTCTACTCGGCGCCAGGTGTCAGCATCAACCAAGCTTCTTGCAGCTCTCAGCCATCGTCCATCATGCCTTCTCGAGCCGTGTCCAGTCCAGGTGATGCGCCAGGACAGGGAAGAAGAACCAGAAGCCAGCAGGCTCTCAGCGGACAACGAACAGGCAAGGGGCATGGTGTAGTCAGAGTCAGCTGTTCGACGCAGGCCTAGCGGACGTTGTTGGTCGTTGATTGTTCTCCTGAGGTTGCAATGGCTGTCGTCGGGTGCTACCGGGCCAGGGTACGCACCAAGCTCCGGGATTTTTTGATTACCTTACCTAAGCCCGTCACGGAGATGAGGGATACGTACCTAGACATTCAAACGTTGCTCTGCACCTCGAATTTTTATTCTCTTCGTGATTGATTCTACTCTGCTCTTCTGATTTAACAAGACACAATTATTGAAGTAGGCACTACCGTTAAGATCATCATCTTGAGGCACACAATAGCTGCAAAGCATCTTCTTCAACGAAGCCACAAATGAAAACGAAATGGTCGTATTGCAGATGAAGGGCACAAACTTGGAGAAACCCAACAGTAAAAAGGTGCGGGCTGGGCCTGGATGGGGAAGTGCTTCAGCGCATCCCTCCGCTAAGACGATGGCCATTAAGGCCCAGACGATTGCCCTACAGCGAACTCCAGCAACTCCTCAGCGGCCCCGGGCATCCAGTGCGGCCCATCACGCCACTAAATCCCCAGACTTACCCCACATTTCCTTCCTCATCGGATCCACCCTCTCCACTTTGCCCTCGCTAAGGTTGCGCTAGGCCTCGCCAAAAGCAACCCTAATCCTCTTCTGGGCGCGCTAGGCCCATTGTCTCTTCCGATCCCCCAGGATATCCGCCGCCATCCCCAACCGTCAATTTCGAGCTGGCGAGAAGTTCCACCAATTGTGCTCCTCCAAGCCTCGGACGACATTTCCCTTCTAGCCTCTTGAAGTCAAGTTTGTCTCTTACGCTTCCTCTTTGCTTGATGCCTCGAACTCAGACTGACCCAGAAGCCCCAGATTCGACGGTCCGTCGTCCCTACTGCGCCGCCATCCTGCCTCCCATCCTGACTTTCGTCTACCCACGCAGTAGTCACCATGGTCACCAACAGTCACGAGTACCCACCGTCTCCAGACTTCCCCTTCCTCCAAAGGTTTGGCACCACATTAGCACAATCGACCGTGGTTCATCAGTAATCTGCCTCTCCCCGCCTCCGGTTGGCTTCCCTTGGCTTTTGCCGCCGGGGTCTTGGATGTCTCGACCATTCACAACTTGTCAACTCCCTCCTTTCTCTCCGCAGTTTCTTCCCCATGGCCTCATCTGTCCACTCAACATCTTCCAAAACCGTCAATCCCGCCGCTAGCCACAAGGCCCCGATCGGCTTTCCGCTTGAATGTGGGCTCTGCCTCGCACATGGCCAGCATTTCAGTTGTCCGCCCAGACAGACAGTCCCATGAGGAGAACATAGCTTGAGTGTGAACGGTTTAGCATACCCCGGCCGGCACCACGAAGGATCTCCAACACAGTCTGATTGGGGAATGGGCCATCCAAAGAGGCCAAGCTTGGGGGAAACAAACTGCTTCTCCATGGGGTCGGCTCACTCGAATCCAACCCAACCATCTTATCCTCGTCCCAATACCATGCATTCTGCAGACTGCAACCATGGCATGAGACCAGAGAAGCCGACTGTCTGGTACTACCTTGATCTCGCGTCGACGCAACTTTAAAATACTCCAACTGCCCACCCCCAGCTCACCGTGCCTGGTTCTCCTGTCTCTCCTCGATACGACTCTGCTTCCAGGAGCTTGCTCATCGTCAACACTTTCAAGCAGCCCGAGAGCGTTCGCAGCCATGTCCAACGACATTACTCACAAGACGGCGTCCCAGCCGCAGGACCCTATTCACGTCGAAAAGGGCCCATCTCACATCACTCACCTCAACGATGTCAGCCTCGACGACAAGGGACTCAACAATGACGCCCATGAGGGTACCAACATTGAACACAGCTTCGGTGTCTGGCAAGGTCTCAAGACCTACAAGCGCGCCGCGTTTTGGTCCATCCGTGAGTTGTCCTCTCAAAGCGATACTCATGTTACAATGTCACCGTCTAACACTTCCCTTCTTCAGTCATCTCAACCTCGGTCATTATGGAGGGTTACGACGTCACCTTGATCGGCTCCTTTTACGGATATCCCGCATTCCGCAGAAAGTATGGCGAATACCTCGACGAGGAAAACGGCTACCAGATTTCTTCATCCTGGCAACAAAAGTTCAACGCCATCGGCGCGCTTGCAAACATCGTCGGCGCCCTCATGAACGGATACTTCACCCCAAAGTATGGTCACCGCAAGGTCCTCATCTTCTCTCTCGTCTGGCTCGCCGCCTTCGTCTTCGTCGTCTTCTTCGCCCACAATATCGAGATGCAACTGGCTGGTCAAGTTCTCTGCAACGTTCCTTGGGGTGTATTTGCTACAACCGGTCCCGCCTATGCCGCTGAGGTCACGCCCCTAGCTATCCGTGGATACCTGACTTCCTACGTCAACCTGTGCTGGTGTATCGGTCAGTTCATCTCTGCTGGTATCCTCAAGGGACTCGTCGACGTCGAGGGCCAGTGGAGTTACAAGATTCCCTTTGCCGTGCAGTGGGTCTGGCCGATCCCCCTCATCATTGCCGCTTGGCTCGCCCCCGAGTCTCCCTGGCACCACGTCCGTCTCGGAAACCTCGACGCGGCAAAGAAGTCGCTCGCGCGCCTCTCAGAGCCCGAACATAACGTTGATCTCGATGCCACTGTGGCCATGATGGTCCACACGAACAAGCTCGAAATTGAGGAGCAAGCCGGCGCCTCTCTATTTGACTGCTTCAAGGGAACTAACCTACGACGTACCGAGATCGCTTGCATGGCCTTCATGTCTCAGATTACCAACGGCGGCGCCCTATGCTACTCTGGCTCCTTCTTCTTCCAGCAAACCGGCATCAGTCCTTCTGCTTCGTACGCCATCAGCTTGGGAGGTACTGGCATTGCTTTCGTCGGCACCTGCATCTCTTGGCTTTACATCTACAAGTTTGGTCGTCGAACTATCTGGATTGTCGGATTCTCTCTTCTTGTTGCCTGCCTGTGGATCATCGGATTCTTGTCTGTTGCCCCGAATCAGACTGATGGCATCATCTGGGGACAGTCCATTCTTTGCGTCGTATGGCTTGGCTTCTACTCCATGTCCGTCGGTCCCATCGTGTACACCCTCGTCGCCGAGGTCGGCTCTACCCGTCTTCGCACCCAGACTGTTGTCTTGGCTCGCAGCACCTACTACGTCGGTAACATCATCTGCGGTGGCCTCATCCAGCCCAAGATGCTGGCACCTGGTGACTGGAATCTGAAGGGAAAGACTGTAAGTGGCCATCTCACATTAAGGCAGCATGTGGTTTCATGACTAACTTTGACTTTCAGGCATTCTTCTGGGCTGTTCTTGCCACCCTGACCTGGATCTGGGGATACTTCCGCATTTTCGAGACCAAGGGCCGCACCTTTGGCGAGATGGATGTCATGTTCCAGAAGGGTATCTCGGCTCGCCAGTCTGGCAAGTACCAGCTCACCTCGGAAGAGGTGTTTCTTGCCGGGCAGCACCAGACCCTGAGCAGGAACCAGACGGAGAAGTTGTGATTTACGATCAAGTTTACGAGTTTAAGATACCAGAACATATCCCTTCCGAGGGGCTCAGTCATTTATAGCCACCTAAATCAGACGATGAGACTGGCAGCACACCTACAGGCGACCCTGCTAAGTTCAAACTCTGTGAGACATAATACCCAATATGAAGCATATACCTTGCAGAACATATACCTTGCGGAGATGATCTTGTGTCTACACGTTTACTTGAGTGGCAATTATTAGATGATGCTATTACTGATACCCTACCCCTTGAGCCTCACTCATTTTCAACTCAACCCTCAAACTGATAGAGGCAAGACTTCAAATGCAGGAGTCTCGTAGACATCCCAGTTATCCGAAGCCTCAGGGTTCCCAAACGGAACCAACGCAGCGAATCGCATCTTGTACTTGCCCGGTGCGATCTGCGTACCATTCGCCAGACGGCCCAGCCACCACAACTCAACACCGTACACGCCAACAATATCTCTAGGCACGTCACGCATGGGCAGTGTAATGATATCATTCGGATCATCCACGCTGGGATCGATGAACGTCTTCCCCGAGGCCTTTGACCAGCTCGTCGCTGCGCCCACGAAGCCAGCCTGCCCGACGACGGGAGGGTACTTCCAGTCCCTTTCCACCCAGGATGCATCGAAAATGTCCCATCGCAGCTCGCGAGTGGCGTACTGCACGCGGGCGTAAAGGTTGGGAAAGTCCTGGACCGCCGGGTCGAGGTTGAAGGTGAAATTGGCTTTCTGGGCAATGGGGACGTCGCTACGCGTGGATGTGATGCGCGGGAAGCCCGTCGGATACTGGAACATGATGCCCACGTCCTTGTGCAGGTCCGCTGCCAGGCCCAGGTATGGTACACCGAGCGTCTCGCCGTTACTTCCCTTGACCAGGACCTTGCCGCTGTAGATAGGCAGCTTTGCCGGGTCGAGGCCCTGTGCCCCTGCGTCAGGGTAGTTGAAGCCGAACTGTGCAGCCTTCGTCTCACCCGGCTGGACAGTCAGGGGTCCGGGGAAGGATATGGAGGGCGTCATCTTCTGGGGTGCAGCCATGACCTCCTCGAACCATGCAATCTTGGGCGTTCCCCAGGCGGTCGGGTCGAGGTTGACGGTGTTCATGCCACCAAACTCCTGCTGCTCAAAAGTGTATGTCACGGACTCAGCGCCGGCGTTGGTGATGTCGACGGCGTGGTACCGGCTAAAGTGACGTGTATCGTTGAGAGCGAATTTGGCAAAGGAGAGGGCGGTGCCGTACTCGAGGACTTTGGTGGCGTTGATGAGACCCGTTCCAACTTGGGCTACGGGCGCGAGGAAGTCATATGGGTTGTTTTCAAGAGCGCCGTCGTCCCATTTGATGGCCTCGCCGGAGGTAATGAGACGCATGGCGAGGTTCTTTGCCCACTCGGGCCCGTGAACACTACGTCCTCCGAATTTGCCTGCCCAGAGAGCCGCCACACCGGCGACGTAGGGACAGCTCATGGACGTGCCGCTCAGGATGGAGTATCCCCCGCCAACGTAAGAACTCAAGATCTGGCCGCCGGGCGCAGCGACATCAGGCTTGATGAAGAGGTCATTCGTGGCGCCAATAGAAGTGAAGGAGCTCGCAACTCCACCGTTCTCCTCGTTCTTAATGCCGACAATATGGAAGATGGGACGCTCCGTAAAGTCCGCCGTCACCTTGCCGCCCGCGCGGACGGTGTCGATGATGGCGGCGCCGACGCGCGCGTCAACCATTGCGATGAGGCTTGACGTGTCTTCCGTCGTCGGGCGGACGAGCGGCATCTCGTTGCTGTAGAAGAGGATGTGCGAGGCGTTGAAGGGGGCGAGGTTGCGCTGCTTCTGGTCGAAGTTGCAGCCTCCCCGGCGGACGAGGGCTACCACACCCGTAAGGTCTGGTGTGGTTCCCACGGGAAGGGGGTTACACGCCTCGTCTGCGGTACTGGTGTTGAGGTTCAGAGGCACGATGGGCCAGTCTTTTACTTCGGAAGGATACCAATCCTCGATAGCACGATACGCCACGCGCGTCTCATTCGTCTGTCCCCCGAGTGAAAAGACGCCCCTGAAGGACGAGGAAGCGAGGACGTCGGCCTCGACTGAGGCCACGGCAACGACGTGCTCGCCCGAGGAGCCGCTGCTGGCCGCGTAGGCGCCGGCCTGCCCGTCGTTGCCGGCGGAGATGGTGATGACGACTCCTTGGTCTACGAGGCGCGTGGCGACGACGGCCCAGGCGTTGTCTGTGAAGCCGCTGATGCCGCCGATGGAAGAGGTGATGATGTCCACGCCGGCTTCGTAGGCTGCGAGGAAGGCTTCGATGAGGGTGTCTTCGTCGGTGCCGTCTACTGTGCCGAAGACTTTGTAGGCGTAGAGGGTTGCGGCAGGGGCGACTCCGGTGAGGCTTGACTGTGTGTCAGCCTTTGATTTCTTCGGGGTGATCAATTACCGTGTGGTGCGAGTTTTTGACTTACATGCTGCTGTTACCGGCGATGATGCCGGCGACGTGAGTTCCGTGGCCTTGCTGGTCTAAGGGGTCGACATCGGGGTTCTTGACTTCACCCTCGGTTGGCCAAGCTGAAGCAGTCAATATCTGGTTGGACTTCAGGGGAAACCAAAGTGAACTGACATCCATCACCAACAAAGTCATAACCACCGGCAACCTTGAAGCCTTCACCAAATCCACCACCGAGCTTTCAAAATGGTCAGCAACCCACTCAACATTTCACAACAGAGTCCTATCCACATACCGCTTCGTGGGTATACCAAATCCCAGTATCAACAACAGCAACCTTGGCACCCTTTCCCAACACACCAGCCTCATGCAACTTATCGACACCAGTCATGTGGTGAATATCATAGTCGATAGCGGTAGCATTCTCCACAAACGACGCCAACGGCGTGCTGGGCGCGAGCTTCAGCTTCCTCGACTGCCATGCCACTTTAACTGGCTCGAGAGACTGGAGCGAGTCAATGTTCTCCACATCCGTCTCGACGGCGGCGCCGGTGAAGATGTCGCTGGTGAAGACGCGGAGGACCTTGACGCCGCGCTGGTTGGCAATCTCTGCAGCTAGAGCTGATGCGTCGGCCCCCTGGATGGTGTTAGTCTTGCTTCTCGGTGCCTAGGTAAAGTCTGAAGAAGAGAAGGATGGGATGTTACCTTGCTGAACTCAACGATGAAGCGTTTGGGCTCGACTGTGGTCTTGTTTGCTGCCGTCTCAGGGGCATTGTCATCAGCTCGGCGCATGAGCGGGTGATTGCCTTGAGCTGTGATGCCTAACACGCTCGCGGCGGCGAGAAGGAGGGTGGGTAGACGCATCCTGCGTCAAGGGTAGATTACCCCTTTCGAACGATTAAACGAGTGTGGGATCACAAGAGATCTAGTGACGATGAGCCGTAACCTGGGAAGCTTCCCCTCTCCGCAACGATGGGTTAACATCGCGATGGTGTTATATACAACATGAACATCCTGGATAAGATCGCGACTCGTATCCTGAGCATCTAATTTCCATTATCCAGCGCGTCCGGCGTGTTGTTGCATCAGCCAGTGACCCCAACGCAAGTGACATGCCAATGCAATTGCAGGTTGTTCGTATTCGGCACTGTGACCCTATCAAGCATGGATTACCGACCAGGGCATTCATTAAACATCTTGGCAAGTTGGTGAGCTATCTACCACTACATTCTTTATCACGCCTCAATTTGCCTAAGCGTGGTGTACCTATTCCGCAGATCAGAGGACACGCCATATCTCGTGAATAAGACTACATCTGCAGCTCACAAAGCATCTTTTATGAATCCAAGCCGACGTCGGCTCTGCCATACCTTTTTCTCGTGTCCCAAGAGTCGAGGGTGGCTTGATTGCCAACGCAACTTCACATTTAGGCTTAGCACGACTCCATGGCCAATGTAACCTTGTCACGACCTTCTTCTTTCTCTCTTGCGCCCGGCAGGCAAGCTGCAGGAGCTGCAGGAACGGGGGCTCCGTGCGATGCATGCCATTATGTGCCACCGCCAATCCGTTCATGCTTCCTGTACTCCGTAATAATGCGGAAGAAGCAAACAGGTGGGCCAATTTTTCACGGGGACCGAGGGAGATGCGGATCCCGGGATGCCAATCGGGATCTTTCATGACCGTCCGGAAAGGGTGAGCTATCGCGGCAATTGATAGCAATAAGTAAACGGACCTACTGTCTACACTTTTACTATTTCTGGTGCTTGTGCTTGATAGTTGCTGGCGAAGTCTTCCAACTCTACTCCTTCACCCGCACAGACGGCGAGATTTCGACACTTCCAGATGACAGACTGAATCGAAAAGAAGGAAATTCGGTCTTGCGGACTGTGGCAAAAGGCCGAGCGTGAAGAGAGAACACCGCGGCAATGAGACGACTGGTTTCCAATCATCCAACTTGACGGACGACAGATGTCTAGTTTCAAAAAGAACCAATTACTATGCCCCAGAACTTCCAAAACAATGGCGCCGTAATCCCAAGACGAGACGACTTAAGACTTTGACGGGAACCAATTGGAATCCGGCGAATGAGATTGGTCTGTCGGTAAACGGCAGTCGAAAAGAGAACCAGCTGCCGGCGTCTCGAGTCTCCGCGTGGCGTGGACCATAGCGTTTGCTGTCCGAGACACGACTGTTTGTTCTTCCCCGCAGACCGTGACATGGACTTGAAGCTTGGTCCAGTGGGCAGACGTTGAATATTCTGCTCGCACTGCCTACCAGCTCACTGCGTCTCTAATCAGGACGTCATGTCTCTTGGCGGTTGATATATCAAACATTGTGCCGACAGGGCCTACAGGCGACGTTGTTTCTAAGAGCTTACTCCAAGAGCGATTGAAACTCCTAGAGCACAACTCAAAGTATATTGGTGAGATGTCTAGTCTGACAAACAGCTCTGTAAGTGGGATACTTTTCGCACTGCCTCCAAAATCCTGAATTAAGTGGGATAGTTACCTCACGTATTTATCTGTAAGCCGAATGCTCATCTAAATGGCATTCTCTGGGACGAAATGACAATCTTGGCCAATCTCGATGGCTCGAGCTCGCCCAGTCACTGCTTGACATGCCTTTTAGGATGACGCTTGATGAGACGGCGCGACGATCTTGGCTTGTTTCGGTGGCCAAGACAACCAGGTGACTTGGCTAAACATCAACCCAACTTGACCCATCTTCAACTTCCGCCGCACATTGAGCCATCCGTCCGGTCAAGAGGCCAGAGGCACCGACACTACCGTACTCCGACAACTGCTATTCGACGTGGGGAACGGCTGGGAGCGAAGGAAGGCTGACTAGTCCCAACGGCTTCCACCCCGAGTTTAAGTTAGACTTTAGAGTCGAATGCTTCAGGCCAGGGATGACACCTCGACGCGCCGTTTTACCACGATTTCATAAACCGCTCAGAGGAGGCAAGATTCGCTTTGCCGCCGCTTAGAGAAGTGATCGAGCCAAGACTCCTCACTTGTTTCCCGTGTTTCGTCTGCCATCCCTGTTCAGCCCTGGAAAAGCTTGTGTTCACTCTTCCCTCCTACGTCTCCCCCCACGTCCCATTTAAGTCGCCGCCGGGAGCTTAAAGCTTTGTCAACGACCGAGAGAGGCCTGCGGATGCCGTGCCGGATGAAGATTCTCGCTTCCAACCAATTGCCCTCATCATCGCCTTCCGCGGCGAACTCTGATAGCAAGCGCTCTCCTGGCTGGCAGGGCGTTGTTCACTATTCTCCTTGTCCCAAAGAACGCCTCCCATGCTTTATACTTTGAGGAACAAACACTGTCCGCCGCACCAGCTTCATCTGCGGCTGCACCCTCCTCGCGTCCGCGTCCACTCAGCGTTCATCGGGATAATATCGTTATGCTTCTTTCCGCCAAGCAAACAACCTTAAGCCTGCTAAGCGCTTGGCATAGCGGAAGGGATCTTCAGGGGGTCTCTAGAAGCGTTGCTAGCTTCAGGAACATACTTGCCAAGATGCCGACGACGTAGCGCTTCGTGGGATAAAAGTCTTGTTTCTTGTTCGCTTGCCGGCTCCCGATGTAAGGTGGCCCTGCCTGTCGGTTTTATTCTCCGGTCGAAAAGCTTGAACTGCCGGCCGCGACTACCCAAGTGACCAGACCTGACCCCTGGCGTAGTCCCCAGGAGGAAAATGAAGTTAAGCTTTCCAAGATGAAGCGTTGCGGTTGGTAGTATTTGCCGATGGTCAACGTGCCTTGGATCCAGTTCATCGAACCAGTCAGTGCGTTCCAGGCACGATATCAACGTTTCAGGAACGGACCATGGCCACGGCCACTTTTACCGTGAAGAACATCCAGACTGATGTCAGTGGGGGGGATAGGAGAGGGAGGGGGTGTGCGAGTGTAGTCGCGATTCAGGCTTTTGCTAAATAGTCTCGACACGAACCTCTTCCCCGTGGTCTGCGCACTCGTACACTTCTCCGTAGTTCTGCCAGACAAAACCTGTCATCCAAACCCGCCCCAAGATCCATAATGCGATGTGGACAATGAGCGAAGACGAGCTCACGGCCGCCTCGCCGCCCCCGCCAGGCATCGTATCCAACTTCGACAATCCCGCCGAGTCCCTCGTGCCACAGGTGTTGGTCGTTGCCATCGTGCTCAACCTCCTAGCCATTATCTTCTGCGGGATCCGTCTGTACACGGTCAAGGTCGTGATACATCGCCACCAACGCGACGACGACCTCATCTTTATCGGACTTCTCTTTGCCACGGCATACTCGGTTATCCAAGTCTACGAGACTAGGAATGGAGCTGGGCACCACATATGGGACGTGAGCAGGGCGGACGCCGTGGCTTTCCATAAGCTGAGCATGGTTGATCTCGCGGCGTATAGCCTCTCTGTTCTCTTCACCAAGGCCTCGATCCTCGTGTTCTACCTGCGGTTCCCTCTCAAGCGCGCCGTGAGGATCGTTGTGTACGTGGTCATGTTTGCGACGGTGGCGTATTCGCTCGCTGGCGCGCTTGGCTGGGCATACCTCTGCACTCCCATGGAGAAGATTTGGGATATGGATGTGCCAGGAACCTGTGTCGATCGGTCGATGTGGTGGTTGATGTTGTCGGTCTGCAATGTTGCCACCGATCTCGCTATCTTGTTGCTGCCAATATGGATTCTCTCACCCCTTTCGTTGAGGCTGGTCAAGAAGATTGAGATGACTATCTTCCTCATGGCCGGAGGCTTGTAAGTTGATGTCGCCGACTTAGAATTACGAGTCATCGTTAACACCTGCAGTGTCCTCGGGCCCAGCATCGTTCGTATGGTTATGATCCCTCTAGGCTTTAATAACGCGGACTTCACCTGGACAGCTTCAATAAGCATCATTTGGTGGTAAGCATCTCACTGCGCTTGAACGTCATTATCTTCACTTGCTAACTCGGTGTAGCGTTGTGGAAGCCAACGTGGGCATCATCTGTACCTGTCTGCCCTTCCTCAAGGCTTTCATGAAGCATGTGGCGCCAGGCATCGCCAGACGATTTTACGTTCCAGATGAGCCGCAGTCACCCACAGTTTTTGACCGCGCCGCCGCGCTACAAAGTCTGCCGCCAGTTCCAAAGTCAGCACGGCGCAAGAGCTTGGGCAGGCAGGCCGTCGACGACGTGCCGGGTGCCGAGATGCGCACCGTACGCTCGAATTGGCCATTGAAGAACAAAGAGCCTTTTGATCATATCGAGCACCAAGATATTAGGCTGTCGCAAGATCACAAGACGCCGTACCCTGCGAAGCCTGTTGATGTTGCTGAGATGGTGTGAACTGGCACTGGCTGCGTTTACTTCTTGATGATACCCCCATGGTTTACTGCGCGTCGAACTTCTTTGGCCTTAGTTTGAAGGTTGCGGAGGAGGGTGTTGGGGACAAGGGCGCCTCTGGTAAGTTCTGGTTTCTCTTGGCTTATTCTGTCACTGTTTGCTAACAAACTTCGTCAAGATATGATGATGTTGTGGGCACTGTTGCGCAGGTGTGGGACGACCCGGTGGGATCACCGGTGTCTTACCCACTCCAACTAAGCCTGCGCCGCACCGGACATGTTCCTAGATACATGGCGCTCGTCTCGGAGCCGTCGTATCAAAGCTCCGTATTTTGCATCTCGACAGAAGTAATGTCTGTTGACAAGCTCGGCGGTAGCGTAGATGGCGCCGAGAAGATTGAATTGGGGAAGATGAGAGGTCCTATGATCGTGGCTCCGGATCATGCTGCCGCTAGCGTGACGAACGTGCCTGCGAATATTGAATCTTGAGGGCAACCCGCAAAGTCCGTGAAGGTGGTCAGCATATAGCTAAGAGTCTAGCCAAAGCATATTAATAATGGAGAACTGGATGACAAACTAAAGAGCAATAAGCTTCAACATGAAAGTCCTCTGCTACTGGCGCCAGTCTTAATGATGCTTACTTCAGAGATTTCCCATAAGGCCAACCAATCTCGGCGAGGAACGCACATGCCAACGGCCCATGAAACCATCGTCGCGGTGGAGACGTCTCGGCGCCGAGATTTCCTGTAGGGGTTCGAGATGGCAGTGTTTGCTAACAAAGACAGTCTTCGGCCTCGGCGCTCATGAGAGCGCCGCACGCCGAAAGGATTTCCATCGCCGCCTCCTGAGCGCGCCAAACCCACACCATCTCGCGCCGCGAACAGTGCTAGTGCACCGAATCACTGGAAACATTAGTCTAGATTGGAAGCAAACTTGACTCAATGACCAGGTTCAGGACCCTCTCGGTCGTAACGGATACCGATTTCCAATGCGATTCTGCCCCCTGGCCCATCTAGGGTGACGATGCAGATCTCCCTGCGGCGCCCGGTGCGGACGAGGGCCGCTGACGCTGAGATCTCTTCTCTTTGTCGTTTGGTCTCCCGCAACTGACACTCTTCCTTCTGTTCACCCAGAGAAAGAATCTCGAGAATTACTTAACCCATGCTCTTCCCGGGGTAGAGAGACCTTTCGTCATCAAGAGATTCAATCAACAACATCAACAACTCAGCTCTCAATCGAGGCCTCGATAGAGCTTCTAAAGCTATCAACGCGGCTCGAAATCCACCATCAAGCCTTTGGCCGACACAACAGAACCTCCGCCGAAGATGTCGAAGCAACAACAGCATTCATCCCCATCGGACCCCCAGATGACCTTTTCGGACCCGCATCCGTCCGTAGCAGACGTCAAAGTAGATCAAAATACAACGGATTACTCTTCCGACCACCCTTCCACGATACGGCAGATCGACCCGGAAAAAGGTGGTCCTCCGGCCGACGGTGCGAAGCCGTCTTGGCCCGGCAGCGATGCGCCGGACGGAGGTGTCACGGCATGGCTTGTCGTTCTTGGCGCCTGGTGTACATCGTTTTGCAGTTTCGGATGGGTAAATAGTAAGTAGCAGTTCTCGTTGCGACGTTGAGGCTAAAGTCTATTTTTTTTTTTGGTCTGCCAGATTAGGGTCGCGGAAGCTAACAAACGTTGTCTTGCAGGTGTCGGAGCTTTCCAGGAATACTACCAGAACGACTTGCTCCGCAACTACTCGCCGAGTACCATTTCATGGATTCCTTCTCTCCAGATCTTCTTCATGATGGCAATGGTAATTCATGATCTTTCCAGTACCACAACTTGAACATGTAAACTGATTCTTTCTTAGGGACCCATCATCGGACAGCTTTACGATCACTACGGCCCCCGCTACCTCATCCTTGCCGGCACATTCCTTCACGTCTTTGGTCTCATGATGACCTCTCTCGCAACTCAGTACTGGCAAATCCTCCTAGCACAAGGCGTGTGCTCCGCCATCGGCGTTGCAGCCATCTTTCAGCCGGCACTAAATACGATCCACGGTTGGTTCAACGTCAAGCGCGGCGCCGCTTTCGGTCTCCTTTCCACCGGCTCCAGCATCGGCGGCATCGTCTTCCCGATCATGGTGACAAGATTGATCAAGTCGCTGGGTTATCCCTGGGCAATGCGCATCTGCGCCTTCATGATCCTCGGTCTCCTCATCATCGCGAACCTCACAGTCAAGGCCCTCCACCCGCCGCGTCCCCAAAAGATATCCATGGATCAGATCATCCGCCCCTTTAAGGAGTATGAGTTTGTCTGTGTCGTCATCGGTTTTTTCCTATTCACATACGGCATCTTCGTGCCTATCAACTACATCCAGGTCCAGGCCCTCGAGGCCGGCATGGACCCTAACCTGGCGCAGTATCTCGTAGCCATCCTCAACGCTGGCAGTCTCTTCGGCCGAATATTCTCCGGCCTCATGGGCGACAAGATTGGAAAGTACAACATCTTCGTGGTGGTGTGCTACCTGACCTCGATCTGGATGCTTGCGCTCTGGATCCCGGCCAACTCGGACGGCGCGCTAATCGCCTTTGCCATACTCTTCGGCTTCTGCTCCGGCGCGTACGTTTCGTTGATTGCACCCCTCATCGCCCAGATCTCGCCCCTCCATGAGATTGGCTTCCGCACGGGAATCACGTTCTTCACAAACTCTATTGGCGGTCTGACGACGAACCCTATCAACGGAGCTATTTTGGCTGGCTCGGGGGGGTGGGTCGGCATCAAGGTGTTCTCGGGCGTGTTTTGCATTGCAGGAACGACTTTTATCCTTGCGGCGAGAATTCACCGCACCGGATGGAAGGTCTTTACTGCATTCTAGACTGAAGGCGCGGCAAGGAAGCATTGTTATATTACTAATGACGGACTGGGGCGGCAGAATGCAACAATCTTTACGTGAAGGAATTTGGCATTGGCATATAGATTAAGACATCCGTACATTTTATATTTAACACCCTCAACTCTTTTCACAGTCTCCTCATACAGAGCGCCTAGAGAACCTGGTTCGATGTGGTTGAAGACTCACGTCATATTATGAAAGATTAGCGCGTATCGTAAAGACTTGACGCGACAACGTGCCACAAACGATACGATGGTCTCATCAAGCAATCGTTATGACACCCTATCCCATAGCGTCTGACCAATAGAAGTCTGGAACGTTGGGCACTACAACCATCGCGGCTATTACACTCATCAAAATCGATTTACGGTTCTAGAGCAAGGACCTCACAGCTCGCACCGTGCAAAAGCTTATTCCACCTAGAACCTCGTGGTGTAGAACCAACATGAAGGCCTATTATGAGATGAATCTTGAGTCTCAGAACCATGATCCAAATGCAATATGGTCTTCAAAGTCAATCGCCCACTCGGTCCCTACTCAAGGCGATGACTGATTCTAGTCGACGTCGTCATCGTGGCCACCTTATCAGCACGATGTAGAGTTTGAACGGGCCGATTCCCGACTGCATGGCGGTTCGAGAATACACTTGTGCAAGGCAAGGTGGGCACCAATAGACTCTCTCAGCTGACTTCAACGTGATTTGTATATATTCTCGACAGACTAGTAGATAATCAGTTCATCGCCGAAGTTATGTTGCGAGTATCGTGGGGGCCGAAATTTGCGGGCGACCAGAGATCGGTGTGTGGTCATCGGGCACGTTGTAACCTTTCTGGGTGACGGTGGCCCTGGGCGTAGACTCAAGTCGACTTTAACCCTCTTCAGCGTTTTTACCAACGAAGAGTCGGTGATTAAATAGTCTAAGCGGCTTAGGTAACGTGAAAAGCATCGCTCGTGGAAAGTAGGATAATCGACGCTTCCACCTGGATTACTGATCTTAGCAGTCAAATCTTTTAACGAGGTTCAAAGACAGCACTTGTATACAAGAATACCTTGAGTATGCAGGAGTACTGAACCGGAAAGCAGCTGTAGTCATCCTACCACCTTAAACTTTCGCGCTTGTGAAGGTCTACAACTCTTATTAGGGTGAAATGTCATATTTTGGCCTATCCAGCTCAATGAAAACCAAGACATAAGTCAGACCTTCCGCGTGTTATGTCATAGTCAAGTGATTCCAGAAGTGACTATTTCATTGGGATTGTGGCAGGAGTACTATATCTCCTCTTTACTTATAATTGAAGTCTACAGACGTGTCATGTTGAAGAAACGATTAGACGCTGAGTTACGTAGTGGATTGGTTGCAGACGAAAACGACTGGAATTATGCGTAGTATCTCACTCAGATTGGTCATGGTCGATGAACTTTTATTCACTTACATTCTTAGGTGAAGTAGCCAAGCAATAGGAAAAGGAAACAAAAGTGTACAGATGGATTCGGGCAATGAGCCCGACTTCCGGCCAAGTTGGTCCGGGTCGCCGGGCCCTTGGTGGATTTCAAATTCGCAAACAATTGAGAAAACATCCCATTGGCGGAATGTACCCTCAACATAGAGTTCTAACACGCCCTCGCTGAAACCCGCATGCATCTGATAACGGATAGCTCCGGGATCTGCATATGTTCTCTGAGTCTCTCCGTAGGGTTGTCAACATTAGTTTAGACAAATGTGATGCTGTGCTGCAAAGTCTTGAAGCGGAGCTGTCGAGGCGGGGACTAGTGAGCCACGCGTAAGATACGAGAAGGAAATGACAACACATGCTTGAAACCAACTATTACATCTCCTCTTGTCCGTCTCGGAGACATGGATGAGTCAAATATGAGAGGGGGTTGGTGGCATCTTCACCTTGATCAGTTGACTGCTTGAACTCAGGAAAAAGACTCCAGTATAAAGAGTCTCTCAAGATCCCTCCCCTCGCCGGCTTTTGATGACAATTGCATATACTCCAACAAGTTGACCCAGGTAAACTGGAAAGCCCATAGTCAGCATGGTTTCATCATTCTCCAGTTTCCGATTGCTGCTGTTACTTCTCGGCCTCGCCACGCATGATGCCGCAGCAGTATATCCAGGCTTGGCTGGCCTGAACACACTCTTCACGTTGTAGGTGAAAGTCTTTTGAACCATGCAGTTGTTTCAAGGCTCAAATGTCACTGCAGTGGAGATTCTTATACGAGGACTGGATTTTATGCCACTCGCGACCAGCCCTCCATCGTCAATCCCCTTGGTAATCCAACGTACCCGGGCCCTACCAGCGCAAACGGACAAAACTGGATCCAATATCTCACCACCAAGCATAATGCATCGCTGCTGCTGACCTACAACTTCGCGCAGAGCGGTGCCACCGTCGACACCACTCTTGTGACGTCCAGCATCGACGTTGTAAGCCAAGTTGAAAATGGGTTCATCCCCAACTACACCGGGAACAACCAGACTTGGGGTGCTGACTCTTCTTTGTTCGGTTTCTTCATCGGAATCAATGACATTGGGAAATCTTATACCAATGGCAACTCCACGGACCTTCACCCGCTAATCTTTGATAGATATGCGGAGTTGGTGGAAGAAGTCTACGAGGCGGGTGCCCGTAACTTCCTCTTCCTCAACGTACCTCCACTTGAGCGGATGCCGAGAACAACCCAGTCCAGTGCGGCTGGAGAGCGCATTCCTCTTGAAAAGGCTGCGGTTGAGGATTGGAATGAGCGCCTTGGCGTGTTGGTCAACGACTTGCGAGAGACTCACGGAGATGTGACCATGTTCCAATACGACACGTATGGATTGTTTGACAGGGTGATAGATACGCCTGGCCGTTACAAAGAAACTGCGGTTTACAAGAACACGACGACATACTGTTCGGCATACCAAAAGTAAGCCATGAATTTCACACTCTCTCTAGATCCGCAGAAGACTAATTCCACTAACCTTTGGCCCAGTGGAACACCTGAGCCAGACACTAAGTGGGATAATTGCACCTATGCTGCCAATGAGTATATGTGGATCAATAGTCTTCATCCAACATCACCCGTTCACTTGGCACTGGCAAGGAGTATCTCGAGAGCTTTGGCTTGATTATGACAGCTCGTAATCGACAATGCCGCAGAGATATTTCCTCGTGTACTAAGGTAGAGGCTTCAAACGAGTACATGTACTTAGTCCTCATCGTAGAAAACAAATGCTCGGACCTCAATGCTCGCCCTCGGCTCACCAGCGCCTTCTGGCAAGTCAGTATCCTTAAAGGCACAGTGAGGCACTCTTCTAGGAACACTAGGCTTGGTGCATGAGTCCACTTGCTTGAAGAATAGCACGTCATCGACTTGTTGTTGATCTTTGAAATACCACTTGTGCTGCGAGGTAGTCGGCGGGCGAACTTCGACGGCTTCAGTATCGTGGTCCGGAAATCGCACTGGTACAAACACCAGGTCAGAGTCTGGTATAGTCCGGGCATCCGACACCGCGAATGGGTCCCGAGTAATTGGACGAATGGGTCGCCACATCTGTGTAACTCTGTCAGCTTTGTTTTGGGAGTTGGCGAGCAGTGTTCACTTGCGTTGATAATCTGGTACCGTGGTTTCTTGAGCAGTTCTTCTGCTCTTTCCTTCAACCATCTTTCAGCGACTCCTTCAGCTGCCTTGAATGACTGGTCCACGTGGACGCCGTACAAAGGCGCCGGACCTTTCGGGCCCTCGCCATCCTTAGGACCGCGACGGATGATGTGTGTCATGATATGAACTAGACAGGGCGTGGGCCTATGCGTGTCAGCATGATGCCAGACTTGTGATATTGTTGGTGGGCAGAAAAAGCTTCATCACGCCGCACATAGAAAGTCACTTACATATTCTCGGTCTCGGACAGGACCTTGTAGCATAACTTCTCCATCTCGGGATAGTTAACCCGCTTGATTTCCTCATCATCATCCCAATTGGTTATTTGACTTTGATGCTTGACATAGTGGAATCCTTGAACGTCGAGAGTGAACTCGTTTTCTCTGCCAGTGATGTCGGTGATAGTTGTCGGGATTTCGACTTTAGGTTGAGGCTTGCCAGGTTCCGGACTTTTCCATCACGAATTAGCTTCCCAATGAATTAAGTCGGGATTGGCATCTTACATACCCTCCAATTATCATGGGCACCAAAGGCACACCCGGATCATCGAAATACTTGATCTTCGTCTGTACTTGACGTCCCTGTTGTCCCATTTTGCCCATCGATGAAATATTCGACAGCGTTTTTTTGAGAAGATCGAGATTACCACTCAACTGTCCTCGAAGAAGGAGGAATGGCCGCTGGCTTTGAAAAAAACCACGTTACATATGGGTATATCGGTTTATCTCTTTCTATCGCCGCGAGTCAGGATATTGGGGTAAACAGAGTGCAACAGCATGGCCACCCTGGAGGAGAACATGCATCAATCCCCATTTCGATAAGCAGTCCTAGAATCTCTGGCCCTGGTGGAGGTGACCCCAATCACGCAGTGCTTTTCAAAGAACTGCGAATGGTGTTATCAAGGCTCAACTGGAGCTCTGGGTGAGGACTCAGACGCATAATCCTGTAAAATAACAATTGGCCACTCGATGCCAAGAGATGACATTCGATGCCAGAAGCTTGGCTTCAAAAGGGCGTACATAGTACGGCGTTCGCAGCGAGCGGCCCGCTGCCCCTCTGTTTGCAGTGCCTAGTCCGCTGTAAGAGACGGAGAAGCGCATGAATCGCGAAGGTTTGCAGGGAGTCAAATATACGACCACACAAATTGGCAATTGGGCTTATCTTCGAGCGATCTACATGGGGTTCATCTGATGACATGTATTCCAAACTGGGCCATTCCTTGTAGTGTTGCAATTGTTCAGGATCCTCGGCCTTGATTCGTTGGTGACTTCTTTGTCACTTGACTTGGTCAAAGAAATCTGACGTTGCTTGTCTGATTGTTGTGTGCTTCGCAATCGCGGCAAATCCAGTCGTTCGGTACGTAAGCTTTTGTACCGAATCAGCAGCGGGACCACCCGAAGACGCCATCCCGAGATCATTGAAGCGAGGGTTGGGGGAAGATCATTGATGGCATCCAACTCGCGTCAACGAACCACGTGTTTCATTAGCATGAATAGGTAAAACGTGAGTACGAATACTCGGTGCTACCCAAATAGCCGTTTTGGTTTCGTCATGATGGAGACTTGGTCCACAACAGAACTAGGAACGACATTGGAAAGTCCCAGGCTCATGTTTGAGATGTTTAGTCATTCCGCCGGGAAAGTTCACCCTTGAGCACTGCGCAGTGCATTAGAAACTTATTACGATATTCAGTGGAGCTTCATGTTGGATGCTGAGGCTCGAGACGAAAAGAAAGCATTGAAAGCTACATCGAATCCTCCGATCAATTAAAAACAGACCTCGCTCATTATCACAAAGAAACGACAATCTTCTTCGCTGAGACTCCCTTGTAGCTGACCTCGAATGCCTGCTGTAAAGATTCCAAGCCCTTTCCAGCAACATGGGGTTTGGGCGCCGGAACAAACTTGCCCTGGGCCAGTGCTTGAGGTAGAAAGTCTCGGTAAATGGCGGCACCGACTTCGTTCGCTATCACATCGCTCCCCCATATGAACTTGCTTCGCACACCGCTCGTTCTGCACTTGAGTGTCGCAGTCGCGCTCTCGGAAGCCATTGCCCACAGTAATGAAACGGTTTCCGTGACGTTTGTGGGCGGCCGGCCAGGTCCAGCGACACTGGCTTGAGCGACGAACTTGCGGCCCTTGCAACCAGCCATGATGTTGATGCAGGGGATCAAGGACCCCGCGCCGATCGCGATTGCGCCAGCTGACTTCCGGCTCTGGAATGCCTTGATAATGTCCTGAACGACCGTCGGACTGCGATAGTCGAAAACTTCTGCGGCGCCAAGAGACCTGACATAGTCGAAATTCTTTGAGGATGCTGTTGCAATGACTTCGTAACCAGCTCCAGCGGCGAGTTGAATGGCGTTTGACCCCACGCTCGTCGAGCCACCCCAGACTAAGAATGTCTCCCCGGTCGGTTTTGCGGAGACGTCTGGGTGTTGAAGGCCGACAAAATCCTTCATGAAGAGACCGCATGCAGCAGTCGAAGCACCCAAGGGTATTACACATGCTTCCTCAAATGTCAGTGAATCGGGAATCTGAGAGGTCAGATCGGCCCGCAAGACGACGTAATCTTGAAAACCGCCTTCAGATGACTTATTGCTTCGCTTGTCAAGACCCACGGCGTGGGCAACAACACGGTCGCCAATCTTGAACCGGTCCTCGGCACCTGGGCCGACTTCAACGATCTCGCCGGAGACGTCATTGCCGAGGATACAGGGATATTTTACCCATTCGTAGAGGATATCACCGGTTTCTTGCTTGAACCAGTCAACCGGGTTGATGGCCACTGCTCGATTCCGAATCACCACCTCATTTTGGCCGGCTGATGTGTATGGGGCTGATTTGACCTCCAAAGGCTTGGCTTTCTTAGCTGTCAACCAGGCGGCTTGATTGATAGGCATTGTGCGAGTATGAATTATCGAAGGCTATGCGAGCTTCTAGAAAAGGTAGGACCCCCCAGGTGGATGAGAGAAAAGTTCGGAAAGGGAAGTTGCTGTGCTTCTAATGGGGGGTGATAGGTACTGCTGTGTTCAAGACGTGGGTGTTGTAGTTCGTTGACGATGGTGCAAATGAAGTAGGTATTATATATCTCAACGTTTGGAGCGTCCGCCCGCGGCTTAGACACTTTGACGTCCAGAACGGAATTTAGATATCTCCAGAATGTACGCATCATTCGCATTATCGTTATTCGCATCTGAGGCTGAAACGAAGTCGCGATTTCATCGAAGAAACAGTTTGTTTCTCATCTGGCGCAGAATGGTTCCGAAACAGGCATAGCGCTTGTCTGCCACAATGTTGCGGCGCATGTCAGCAACGGTTTGTGGGCGATGGAGTTCTGGGGGCGTCCGGCGCTAACTTGACATCGTATCCTAGCTCCCCCTTTTGTTCGCTCAGCTTATCCTGATGTCATCAGAACGGCCTTAGCTGATTAAAGGGTCTGGAACGGATACATATCTCTCCGCTACGGACAAGCGAAACAGGTCTTCCGAAGTTTGTATGAAGATCACCAGCGAACCCTCACCGCCACACCAATCCGCACCATCAGTCTGATGGGACTCGCAAGAGACCCGCTGCCGGGCCCGTGTGGATCTCGGAGTTCGCGGCTAGAAGATCATGTTTATCGGCCGGCGATCGGTATCGGCCCCCAGAAAAGCTCCTCTAACAGCATGAGGTGCGGGTCATTGTAGTAATCATTTGCGGAAGCAAATTACCCGAAGTCTCGAGCGATCTTGTGTCAAGATGTGATACTTCTTGAATAATTACACATTCATATCATATTACTTCATTAACTTGGCTGTACTTGCGGTCACATCGGCCATCGCACTATTCCATGCGGATCTCCTCAACCTCCCAAGTCCTCTCCACCAGAATACCGAATTCGCCCAAGAAATTAGCGGCTCCCTCAGACATGGAAATACTGTGGTTGCGGGACGTTGTAACCATGGTGCTTGTCCCACCATTATTCAGATTCAACTCCGATTGGTCTCCTTGACTACCACCTGTTGAGCTTCGGAGGAACTTCTCCTTCGTAAACACCTCAAAAACTTTGCTCAAAGAGCTTGTGGACCTCGGAGATCCATGGTTACCGAGAGCGCTGTTTGTTACTGTGTGAGGCCATCTGCTGTGGATCAAATCGATTTCGCTGCCGTTGGACCGAGTGTTGAATTGCTGTGGATTCGTCTGTGACCCGACTGTCACCATGGCGGACTGTCGTCGAGCCATTTCTTGGTGTCTTTGGAATAATTCGTTCACTTTCCGGTCCATGAGCTGGCGAATGGTCGCCAGAGATGCCGTGGTGACGCCGACTCCCAACTCCGCGATAGTCCAACACGCTGTGCTCATGTACCCTTTTGGCGGTGCGTGAGTCAAACTCCAAATACGACCAGCTGACATGATAGGGACTCTAAAAGGGTGTTAGCCGAGGTTGCTCTGTTCAGTACCTTAAGGGCAAAAGCTGCCGCTAGCTGGAATAACTCACAATGCGCCAATACCGAATACACCCAACGCTGCCCAACGTTGGCTGCTGTTCAGCTTCAAAGTCCAAAGAGTAGGAAGTGGTAGGAAGAGAACAACAACATCGGTGACCAACGTTCCAGTCGCATTGAAGTATGTCGATAGCACGCTTGGGAGACACTTGGCGGTCCTTACGCTATGATCCCAGTTGGCTTCTATCGGCAAACAGATCAGAATCTGGAGTAATATCTGCGCCACTGTCCAAGCGCCAACAAAGATGATGGCGCCGACATAGACTCTTCTCATGATGCGCACGTATCGGAAGATGTGATAGAACTGAAATAGGAAAGTCATCTTCAAGGCGGCCATGGCGATGTTGTACGTAATTCCGACGGCATAAGGGATCTATCGACTTTGTCAACATGACGAAGCGTTGAAGTCAACAGCGAAGGCCTACCTTTGATCCTTCATTATCGACTGTGACCATGGCCAGCATGGTGGGCAAATACTTCTTCGTGAATACACTCTGCATGATGTTGACAGCAATAGTGCTGAACTATGCATCTTGTAAGTTGGCTTATAATGGCGGCAATGGGGACAGGATTTATCTTACCAGAGCGAGGACTGCCCATGCATCATCTATTCGAACTTGCTTCGTAATGAAATAACGCGTGTAAAGCCGAGCAATTACAGAGGCAGTTGTGATGATGGTAATGATGGCGCCGAATGCGACCGTTGCGTTGGCCTGGCTGTCGCTATAGACAAAGTCCGTCTGCGCCTGGGGCGCATCCCCTTCCGGCGTCAACGGCACCGATCCATCGGCGGATAACGGCGGTGCGCTCATTTTCTCAGACGGAGACGACAAGCTGAATGCCGCTCGTATGAATCAAGAGCATACCCATAAACCTCTGAACTGGCCGACGAGTCCCATTTCTCAATGAAGGATGAGTTGGATGCGGGTGCGGAGCTGCAGCGCAGCAAAGAGCAAAAGTGGTGAAAACAAGCTCTTTTGACTGAATTGGTCTAACTGAGTACGGGTGGTATTTTCAACTTCCTTAAACAAGCGAACAAATGCAGGCTAGACTTGAGGAGGCAGGACGCACTTTAGTGAAACAAGGAGGCAGCATGTGTAGACCAAAAAGTGCTTCCAACGGGTGTTGGTAGCCGTGATTGCAAGGCTATTTTGTGGGATTGACGGAAAGGTTGCTTGATTTGGGAACTCAACGCCGGGACTTGTTAACCAAGTCGAACTCACCCTCGCCGTCTTTGTGCATCCAGGGGTTTATAGTGTCAAATTTCTACCGACTGATGGAGTCTACCAATACCGTTGGCCTACCGGATCCTTGTAGACAGGGTAAGCGATGATTTCGACTCGTGCAAGAGTCTAAAATGGCCCTATGGGTAATCCAATCTGCTGCAGAAACCGGGTCACTATCCTCAATTTCGACTGTGGCCGAGCAGACCCTCCCCACTCTAAGTGGTGGCATGACACTCCAGAAATACGAAAACCTAGCCGCTTAAGCCGACCCTTGATTATACGCAGTAACATGGAGGAATAGAAGGCACGGAAGGGTTGAAAGGTAGGATTGACAAGTGCCACTGTATCACATTCTTACGATGGCGACAGACCATAACGCCTCCTGAACTTGATCTTTGCCACGTCTGTCAAGTCAACCCGTTGGCACTTCTCAAAGATGATATCGTCGCCAGCGGCGCGCGTTGATCTATCGGACTTCGAAACAGTAGATCACCCGGGAGGGGGCCTGTGCGGAAACGCCTTCCACTTGGGCTCTCGGCGCTGAGATTCGTGCATGGTTTTGTTTGGCCTCGTGGCCTCGAAATCAATGTCCGAACCCAACCGATGGCATGGGTAATCCAAAAAGTAGAAGATCTGCGAGCCTTCAGATCATCACAGCACATCACCCTGGGTCCGATCCAAACAACGCAGTGAACTCTGCGACGAACGGCCGCGATGCCCCTCCGCAGATCGCACGTCCGTGTGCACGAAATGCTCCGGGCTGGACTTTGAGTGGATTCCTTCCCCCTCCAAAGAAAATAAGAAGAGTGTTGAATAAGAGGAGGAAAATGAGCGAGCTCAAGCCTGAAGGTGCTCGAGAGCCACGATTCTGATTGAACCATGTCTTTCCGGACACCATGTCCTTCTTTATCAGATCAAAAGACCCTCTTGAGGATACAGTGGCACGAGTGACCCGTTATATAATCGAGGACATGGATGCGCGTGATGTGGAAATTAGTAGCAAACGTGTTCTGACCGTTTTGCAAATAATACCTCATGATCGCCGTCTCACTCGCGCCACGTCCACAGTTGCTGAGACATAGAATCAGACTGTAGGTAATGAGCTTCGATGTCAATCTTCTAGCAGAATTTTACTTATTACTCCGGATTCGGGGCAGAGGCAGAGTAGACCCTAGTCTCAATGGTTCCTTTTCTCAGGCCCTTATAAAGGGAGTGGTGCTCGCATGTTCGGCACGAAATTCTGCTCTGGGGGGCATCGGCCAAACACCCACATTTCCCACAACGACCGCCACTATCCGGCTCTGGGGACCGAGGACTCCGGTCCTTAATGGGTCTTTGAGGAGACTGGGGTGCCGGGTTGGTCCAAGGTTGAGAGAGTTTGTCCACAAATGCAGTTGTTTGCTCTTCCTAGATCCTACTTAATGAAACGAGTGTCCCTTTTCTCCAGAACGCTGTCGTCTACCAGTTGAGATGCCGGATGACAAATCTCCATGTCGTCATACATTGGAAGAGATTTCTCGAAAATGGCATCAAGCTTCTCCATACGCCTGTCTCGAGGCGTAGGCCGAACTCATGGAGAAACGCCAAATAACGAGCAGCTACAGCTTTCGAGTGCACGACCTTGTGATACTCTAGTAAGACAAAGCGAGAGGAAACACTTGGAAGAAAAAATCCCACGATGAGGAGAAACAGACAACAAACGAACCAGGTACACAAGAAAACTCAAATCCATGAGGATGCTTCCGCTTGAAGCATGACCCGAGCATCTTCCACGCCAAGGATTATGACGAGTAGTTAATGGAAAGTCCTTCTAGAAGTTTCATAAAAAGCATCCCATATGGAACACTCATGTACTACCCGCAGCTTAAATCTCTGTTCTTCGATTGCTCACGTCGTGCCGATTTACGATAAACTCAGTGATTGCTTAGGCGTTGCAGTTGTACGGAGTACTTGGCGGAAGACCATTCACTCCACAGTACGGATTCCGCATGGGACTGTCTGTCGGTATGGAAACACAGGTCCCAATGGTCTTGTTAGTGTTCTTATATATTACGGCGGTCTGCTGTCACCAACACTCGCAAGTTCAAGGTTGGTATACAATGCGGATCGCAGGTCAGGTTGCGGTTCCTCGGTTAGCACCGGCACTATCACACACTTCAACCAGCTCTTGAGTCGTGGTCGGCGTGAATGACTTCGGAGCAAAGACCTAGCTTCCGTGTGATTAGAACAATGTCCCTAAATTTATCGTCGGGTACGCGGCTTCAACTGAGGAGACAACCACACCTGCGGCGGCAGCGAGAGTAGAGATATGCATCTTCAAGATAGATAGGGTGACTCCGAATTTCAAGTTCTGTGACTTGTGATTTATCCCGAATGAGGTGTATGGCTGGGCTGAGGTTGTTCATAGCTCTTAGATACAGATTCACAGGAAGATGAAGAGCCTCCGTGGCCCGTGGCCCTGTGGCCAGTCTGCATGCCCGAACGAGCCGTTAACTAGCGTGATCCTGCAAATGGGCATGCGCATCTCGGTTTCTTGATGTTCTCGTCTAAACCTCTCAGACTCCATGTCCGTTACAGAAGTTGAGCCTTTGCCCTATGCGGGCCGACATGCCACAGGCAACCTGAACTGCAGCTTTCTTCTCGTGTTGACCTGCAAGATATTGCATGGATCTATGATTCAACATTCAGAGTTCTGTCTGGATGTTGCAGAGAAACTACTCGTCCTCTTTCAACTTACGAAACGAATCTATATAGACCTACTAGGCTTGTAAGCCTCTTCCCTGACATGACAAGAGAATCTGCACCACCTTACAAGGAAGGAAACGGGTAGCCAATCGTAGTGGGAGCGCCCTACAGGCTACTGCCGGCGACACTGCTGTTTTCATTGCACTAAGCGGGATATGAGCAGAGGAATTACCTAGAGTCGCATGCGGTAGCAACTGTTGGGGCTCCAAGTACTCCTCATATTCGTCTGTCCATGAGTATTTAGGTATATGGGAAGAGACGGATTTGTTCCCTCAAACAAGCCGAACTTGGCTGCAAGACACTCGAGATGATCCATGAGTCTGACTAAAGTACCGCTTGGCAAACTCTGCTTCTCACTTCAACATTGATGACACATACATTCGGGAAGTAGTCAAGATGAGAACTATCTTGTTGCCCAAAAAATGATTTGAAACCCTTTCTGTCCTTGGAGGTGTCTAGACCCCATGGAGTATGTGGTGAATTCTCACTGACGTTCCGCACTGAATACGTAATTTCGTAGAGTTAAGCACGAGCATGCTCTATCCGAACCTGAAGAAGTTTATGAGATTCATTGAGATGCTGAAACCAGGAAGTAGGTGCCTGATGGTAAAGTGTGTAAATCAGAAAGCCAATGAAATCATCGAGAAAGTAGAGCGTTATCTTTCATCATAAGTATTTTTTTATGTGCTACCGGGCTATCGGCTGGCTCTGAATACAAGGCCGGTTGGCCAACTATTAACCACTATGTTCAAGAAGAGAAACTGGGTGCTATCCAGTCACACCTTAGCTTTGAAGACCTCTTGATCCTCATTATAAACCAAATCTACATCTTTAAAAACGGCGGAGTGCCTTGGAGCTGCGTCTCGTGGCGGAGCTGACGCACTGGGAGTACCACTCGTTTTGAACAACGCAAGAACTTCCAGCTACGCATGTCGTGGCACCGGTCCAGCCCTTTCCGCCACACTGGTGATAGTTCTGGACAATGGCAGATTCGGTGGAGTTTCCGGAAGCAGTCTGCTGGCAGGACGCTCTCTTGGTTGAGGTGTGAGTGCTGGGAGTGCTGGGAGTAGGCTTGGCCTTGGATGTGTGAGCCGCCTTGGTCTTGGAAGACTTTGCAGGCTTCGAGGAATGAGCGGCCTTGGAGGTGTGGGAAGGAGAGGCCTTGGTAGTGTGGTTGGCACCAGAGCTAGGAGTCGCGACAGCAGTAGGGGTAACCGTGGGAGTCGAGGGGGCCTTGACAGTGACCTTGGCGCTCTGAGTCGCGGCAATGACGGAGGTAGCCTTGTGGGAGGAAGTGGCAACAGTTGTAGGGGTAGCACCGGAGCCGGAGCCGCCAAGCTTAGCGGGACCGGCGTTGCCAACGACAAGGCTAGCGACGGTATCGGCAGCAACGGGCTTGACGAGGTAGCCAGAAAGCTTCGCGAAAGTAGACAGGACGTTGGTTTGAGCCAAAGCCTTGAACTGACCGCTCTTGGAGTCAACGCTGTTGATCACGCAAGCACGGCCGATCTTTGAGGAGCAGGTGGCAGCAGACTTGGCGTCAGGGGCGTTGAAGCTGTTGGCGAAGACCTGACCAACGTAAGGCTGCTTGACGTTCTCGAACGCATTACCCTCAATGAGAGCAAGGGTGGTGGTGAACAGCTCAAAGGTGTGGCCCTGAACGTTCTGGAAGAAGTTGTTGGTAGCATGGAAGGTACCCTTGGGGCCGAGCTTGGGGGAACGGCCAGAGACGTTGACGTAGTAGTTTCTGTCGATGGTGATCTGGTCTCCGTCACCGAGATGCATCTCAGTCCAGTAATGGTTGCCGTTGCAGGTGGTAGAAGCCGAGGTAGCTCCATCGAAGTAGTTGTTGGAAATGGTGACGCGGGAACCAGCGAAGTGGGTGACAATAAACTGACGGCCAATCTTGGAGATTCTGTTGTGGTCAATCCAAATACCATCGTTGCCGCCCTGCAAGTCGATGGCATCACCTCCCCAGACAACACTAGGGTTCAGGTTGGTGATCTCGATGCCCTGAATGATGACGTTCTTGGCGTTGGTCTTGACACGAAGGCCCTTGCCGTTGAGGACACCCTTGCCCTTGGAGCCTAGAATGCTCTTGTTGCTGCCGACAATGAGAGGCTCGGTGGCAGCGAGGTCGTAGCTGACCGTGGTCGCGATGTTGTCGCTCGTGCCACAGGAGAGGTCTCCGAGGAAGAGCTGGCCGCCGTTGGCGACTGTGCAGCTCTTTCGGCTGCAGCCCTTGCCTTTGGCAGAGGTACCGGTGAAGTCGTACTCCTTATCGATGACGATGGTACGGGGAGTATCGTCGGCAAGCCACTGGGTGAGTTCATCGACAGAAGAGGGGACGGCAGCGGCAGCATTGCCACCACCGGTGACACCCTTGGCAAAGCCGTACGCCGTGCCAACGACAGACTGGGCAGACGCTGACGTCGCGGCTGCAGCAGCCAAAATGGCGGATGCTGAGAAACGCATGTTGTTCGAAAGGAGAAAAAGAACGTGATATTTGATAAAAGAATGGACGCGTGAAATCGATTTGAAAGAGTGACCAAATCACGCCAGCGTGAAGCTGAGTTGCAGTTGAAGTTGATAATGTAGAATGTACAGAAAGAACGACTTGAGGAGAGACAAGAGATACGGGACAAGAAAGAGGGCAGTCACTTTGCCGCTGTATCTTATACCTCCAATGTTTCTTTCCAAAGTGAGGCTCATGCAGGAACCACTATGGAGTAGAGGGTCGAGTAGAGGGTCCGGATCGTTGGGCAACGGCCACAATTGGGCGGTCGTTTACGAACTATCCCAGGTGGAATTGCCAAGATATTGGGGGCAGCGGGTAAGTGGATACAGTCATTATGATTGTCAGTTTCCTGATATATTTTTGCCCTGCGTTCTGCTTGGCACTGTGATCAGTCCTTGCTCAAAGTCGGATGAGATCCGTCCTGCCATCTTAGGGCTGGTGGGTTGCATCGTGACGTGTGCCTCGAAATCCCCTTTTCATAATGGGGAGGATGGGGGGTAGAGGTAAACGGCGGAGCTGACCGCTACGGCCGAGATCCGTGTTGTCATCTTCGAAGTTGAGGCTGCTTGATCATGAGTCGTGGCGTGAGCAGTGAGAATCCCCCTTGCCTACATTGGATGTCCGGATAAATGTAAGTAGGATCCAACAGCGGGGCTGTTCGTGAAGAGCACGTTCCTCACATGCACACTGCACGTCCACGAATTGGTGTCACTTATCACGACCACGAGCGCAATTTCAACTTTGGGCGGCTAATTCAGCGAAGTCTCAGCTTTGCAGTCATCTTCTCGCGGGATACCATGCCTCAGCATCTCCTCGTCAGTACTGACTTATGGAACACATGATGAGTGATGGCTGTCTTCGCTCAGCTGCACGGCCGTGGTTATCTGATGTGAGTTGAAGCTTCTGTCAACTCTATTCAGAAGTGGCAATCACTTAGGATAAAGTTCAAAACGTCATAGTTACTTCGGAATAAGCATGCTCTGAAGCAAGAAAAAAAAAGCAACTCAGAGGATGTCCACAATGCTATGGTCATCGTGAGGTTTGACAAAGAGAAAAACTGCCCACGACAAAATTTCGGCAGCTAGCCAAAACTTTACATTGATGAAACAGCCCCTTTCATCTCCGCCGGAGTAAGGATATGGAGCAATGAAAATAAGATCGGAAGAATGATAATAGTCACAGCAGAATGACGATTGATCGACCTCATGCGGATCGAGTATTATTGAGCTAAGGGATGATCTGTGCCGCTATTTTAGGGTACCTTGACAATGCAAGTACAACGCTTCTGATAGGAACGTAACGCATTGTGACAGAAGGAGATTCTTGAAGAGCCTGGAAAATTAGAGCATGGTGCATACAAGTAATCGGCGAGACAATTTGGATAATCTGTATCAAATTTCGGGTCATCAGTAATGATAATGTGCTTGGTACTTTCACAAATACGTGCAAACAAAACTTGTAATCATGATAAGACACCGATACTTGCTTCGACTTGTATGTCTTTAGTTACAACCTAACCAGTTGCTTGGATGAGAACACACCGATGACCGAAGCCTGTCTGCCCACGACTGCATGTAGGAAAACCTAGATTTCTGGCTCAGTGTCATCAGTCTAGACTAGATGTGGATCTGAACTAGTCATAACATGATTAAAAAGCCCAAATAATTAAGGAGCAAGATGGAATTTGAGGGTTTCAGGTCTGACTGCCTTCTAAGCCGGGCATCGAATTATCCACCTTAGGCGACAAGTTCTCTTCCCCATGTAGCAAATCCCAAATGTTATATATCGTACGGAGTACCGCGAGCTAGACAATCGTACTCTTAGACTCAATTGTGGGTTGGCCGCCGCAGTCCGCAATATAAGAAGCTGGGTTTGCACATTGCATTATGAAACTTGCTGTAAAGGCTTTTGGCCGGAGTAAGTAAGAGTGGTAGAAGTGATACGGATGGAACGAGTTATTGAGCAAGTCTTTGCGTACTTCAATCAAAAACACTTCCACTCGCGGCCTAGACCAACCGAAGCCCCTCGCAAAAGGCAAGTTCGTGATTGCTTCAATCAAGTCGTAGTTTACTGCGCGACAATAGTCTCCAATGGCACTCAAATCTGGGAATTTTGGCCACGTTCCTACGGGCACCTTTCTCATGTCGTGGATCTGATTCGTGAAGCCTGCTGATTCCAAATGACCTGCGAAGTCCCTAGCAATATTGATATCTACGTTGAAGGTAGCCAATGCCTCTGTTCAGTAGCGCATTGTCTCTCGTGGCTTGTATGCCTCTGTGACTGTGCCGTCGTCGCAGAGAAAATCTAAAAGCAAATCTTGCATCTCAAACTAACCCCCAGGTTTGAGAGCCCTATCTGATGTCAACTGAGGTCTTCACCACTGGTTAATCCATGAGGGTAGGTAGAACCTAACCTGTACGCTTGTGACAAAAGCCTTGGCTACTCGTTGGGTGAACACAGTCAATTGAGTTGGGTGCGTGCAGCCAGTCGGCTTCAACATCATCAACTGTGAAGTGTACGTCTGGGGGCACATACACAGGTTGAATGGGACTTAAATCTAGGCTGATGATCTCCGCCTCTGGATAGTCGTCACCCACTTGAAGCAGACACGTCAGCGCCACTGGCAGCGGGACTTCATTCGGTTATCAAGTAAAACTCACTCTCCATGGCCCATATACCAGTGCCAGTGTCTATATCAAGAATTCTTTGCGGACTACACAAAGGAGCATTATGTTAGCTCCGTCGCAGAGGTTCACTATCAAGGCGTATTTCAATTCCTCGCGATCTTGCTCAATGTCGTCATTCGGCAGCATGTAGCGACCCGCTTCGTATTTGTGATAGCGGCGTTTGTTTTCAAAATTGGAAGCTCTGAGATTCGAAATAAGAGATTCGGTGCCGTCAAGATCATTGGCAGACGACAAGGAGGATGAGAACGAACCACTGCTGTCGCAACTAGGTCTAGGATCTAGCTCTCCGTCAGGCTCTCCGTGAGGCTCTAAGTCGTTGGTATCAGCAGGCATCCTCGTAATGGAGGCCAAATTGTTACCGCAGCAGGCTCGTGCATACTTCAAGAGATGATGCGCATTCTCCTATCGACCCAGGATGAGGAGGAAGATGGAAAATTGAAGATGGGGGATTGAAGGCGGGAATGGTTCAAACCAACAAGAGCAACCGCGTTCCAACATAGGCGGCCCGGTTTTCATTCCTGTTGGATTGGATTTGGCAAGGATGTTGACCAATGTTTGCTCTTACTCGAACTCCGAACCATCACTCGCATTGAAGCACCCTAACACCATTGGCTAATCTGGAGTACTTGTGGGCTGACTTCTCGAAGAGTGAACCAACAGGGCGTTGAGCACTTTCGGACCTCGTTGGCCTTAGCCCAATTTTAGCTAACTGCTGGGCTTGAGAATCTTCAAAGAAAAAAAAGAAAAAAAAAAGACATGATACATCCTCAATCGATGAAAAGCGTCGCTCTACCGTTCATCAAGTGCCCTGTATTATACACGAGTAGGACTTGAACAAAGCAAGTCAATGGCATTAAATTATTCTCTGGATACAAGCCAGAGTGATGCGAGTGCGAACAGAGATGAGCTGTCCATTTAAACATTTACACTCGACCCTATCAAAGAAGTACGATCAACTTCTGAAACGGAATCTTGCCCAAGAAGAGGGTGCGCTGCTGGGTAAGAGACGACATCTATCCGCCCGAATTCAGGCCACGGTCATTTATACCATCTGCACTTCACTCTGTGAAATCAATTCAGCTTGAATCCTTCACTTAGCTAGCTATGTAGTATTGGCGTCTGGGGGAAGTGGGTCGGGCTTGCTTGCAACTACCTGGTCGGTAGTCAAGCAACCAACTTGAAGGAGAAAAAGTGGCACCGCAGGCGCGATAAAGCCAGCGTCTGTTTGAGCCTAAGCATTAAACCAGGACAGTGCCATAAATGACTATAGGAAAGTTTCAGAGAAATAATATCTATTTACAGATATCCAGAGAGTGCTTCAAAGAGTTTCGTCACTACATGTGCTTACTCTGAAGTTGTATGTCGCAATTGTTTGCGCTTCAACCTCATTTGTCGATGATCTCAGCGGAATCGGAATGTGGGGCTCTGGTTGCGACCCAATGCTGTGGCTGGCCATCTGGATTTTAGTTTTCCCCTCAATCCGAACTGAACAACGACACATCCCCGGTCGCCCGTCGCGAAGCCACCCACCTGGGCCAATCGAGGCATCAAAGAATGGCGGAATCAGTCTCTCAATTGCCACGTCTACCACAGGAGGTGCTTGGACTCATATTTGCACACACCTCGAAGTCGACGGCTCACGCCGCTCGGTTGGGGAGCAAAATCCTGTCCGCTGCGGCAACACCCAGATCATTTCAGCATGTTGTACTGAAGCCACCCTTCTGTGATCGTTTCACGCACATTGCAATAGATACAATTCTTCGGCGGCATGTCAGAGAGGTCACGTGTGATGCTCGCTCGTTTCTGGATTACCGCCCCTTCCCCATGGATTTCCTCGAAGCTCTGCCACACCTCAGATACTTCTCTGGGCTCAAGGTTCTAAACTTGAAGTTTACCGACTATGCAGACGATGGCGACGAGACCGCTGAACCGGAAAACTCCACGAGCTATCGCTTCTATGACATATATAGTTTTCGGCGCTTTGTCATACTTGTCTCCTTTTACTGCATACACGGAGGGAGCAAAGATGATCAGGATCTGGTTCAGTTGTCGCATAGCCTTGGGACATCAGAAGACTTTCCCTGGATGGGGAGCCTGAAAGTCCCGGACATGTCTTGGAGCACAGAGGACAGGCTTATTGGTGGCGGATTTCCCATTATTCAGCTAGAGGAGTTGACTATTTTCAATCTAGCCGAGGATATCAACGATGGTCAACATCATGAGATGGAAAATCCATTACATCGGAGGCACCTTGCGAATTGGCCCATCTTCAATCAAGTGATGGCCCTTCCAACACTTAAAGGTGTAAAGTTGATGGTAGCCCCCGATGACCCGGATAACTCGTTATGGGACAACTTGGAGGATGAGCCGACCGAGTACAACTATCAGTGGCAAGACCTCTATCTCCGCGAGCTCACCTCGTGGTTCAAGCCACAGCTCGCACACAACCTAACCACTTTGTCTCTATACTACGACGATATCTGGGGCTACCAGCCCAAATTCGACTTCCGCCTCATCAATCCCGGCAGCGGGCCAGAGTGCGGTTTCCCTCACCTGAGGGTCTTAGCTTTGGGCAGGTATTGCTTCAGTCACGAGTGGCAGCTAGATTGGTTCGCTTCTCTTGGAAGACAGAATTCAGCGGGTGGGATAGAGGAACTATACCTCGATGAATGCGTGGTGGTATCGAAAGCATACTGTACAATTCCTCAATGGGAGATCTGGGACCTGGATCGAGACCGCAACTATACCATTGTCACTGTCCAAGATGCCGATGGTAACGATGTGGAAGTCTCCAATCGCGGATACTTGCCAACCACATGGGATATCGATCTTGTCGACGACACATGGACAGAGTTTTACCACTCCAGCATGTCTTGGCATGAACTACTCGACCACTGGAGCAGCAGCATGGCTGCATTGAAGACATTTAAAATGGGGACAACGGTCTCTCTTGCGTCTTGGTCCGGGATCGATCTGGCAGCTCATGTAACGCCCGATAAAATCACCGAAGCTATTGTCGCTCCTGGGAGCAAGAATAGCCCCATGAACACGGATATCCATGCCAAGTTCGATGATCACGCGTTCCGCAAAGAGGTTGGAGTGATGGAGTTGGCAGTGCCGTTTTACGTCAACTATTCGCCAAAACCGAGCGGTATGCCCAACTGGGTTGCTCGTCCTTGGTTCTTCATCCCAGTGAGCAGCGATGAGGCTGTAGTTATGGAAGAGTCTCCAAAGGAAACGAGACGGAAAGATATGGTAGCATTGGATAAAATCAGAGAAGTAGTGGATGAGAGGGCAAAGGGGGGCAGTCAGGTTTGAACGAGACCAACGGAGCCTTTGCCCGCGCAATTCGACAGTTTCCCGGCGGTTGCCGAGCTCTCACCCTAGACAAGTACAAAAGTGTTTCTCCATTTCAAGCCCCGCAGGCTCGCGCGACGTATTGGTCACGAGGTCGTCGACGTTTGCGACTTCAAATTGGCGAACGGCGAGGAGGACGAGACAATCATCATACTATGGTAAAGTAGTTGAGGGTACCATGTTTGTGAGATCTTGTTTAAGTCTTAATAATGGGAATGGGATACTCTTACGGAGGTCTTCTAATAGCTCACGGCTTCGCTACTTTCATCGCGCTCATGAGATGTACGCGCTCAATGAGTCGTGACATATCGTATCTTTGGTTATCGGCAGGGGTCGTCTTCCCGGCGCCGCAATCAACGCGAGTCGCCGGTGGGCGGATACCAGCGCCTAGCCTAGTGCCTCGATACTGTCTACGAATACGTACGGATATGAGACCAGAGCGTGCCATGGATCCTGGCAAAAGAATTTCGCAAAAGACTAAACTGGATCCTGATATCTTGGCTCCTGTCTCACCGGTCAAGACTCGTCAGCAAAACGCAGTGCAGAAAAATGGCAGCTCCGGCTTGGGGACGCGCGGGACCACCCGCAAGCAGGACGGGATTTGCGGATGTGCCGCATGTGCTCCGAGCAAGGATCATGATGATCGGAGAAGACTCATTGGCGACGATGAGGGGAGCGCTCAACCAGCGGTGGGGGAGAGTCCAGCGGAACTTCCTGAAGCTGTGGATAACGGCTATGCAACGACGGACGAATGCAGCATGTGGATATTGTGGTGGTTCGGCCATAAGGTGACGAAAGGGGCGAAAAGAGACTCATGGTACGGCGCCGAGACCACTGGAGTTTGAGGACAGGTGGAGGTTTCCCTGTCCGAGAAGGATGTTTAATGACCCAGTCGTCCGGGTCCGACTGACAGGATCAGGTTTCGAAATCAAAGTGGCGGTCAGAACGGTTCGATTTCGCCGTGGAGAGTTGACGATGTGACGCCGTCATGGAAGTTGACATGTTTGCAGAAATGTGACAGACTTTAGCCGATGAGCCAGTTATCACAAACAAAAGTACGCACGTAAAACCGCTCGCACATCACACACCGTAATCCAAGATGACAGACATGACAGCAGATTGAGTTTCGAGTCGGCGGCGCGGGTGTGGCAACGCAGCTTGGACCAGAGGATGCCAGGCGCACCCAGACACGCGCCAGACTCACGCCAGACTAGGCTGAAGGAAATCGCCGGAACCACCGGGGGCGCCGTTGCGCTTTGTCTTGCAGCATTTGGGGCTACGCCGCGGCGCTGCATGGCGGCTGTCTTTGTGCCCCTGAGACTTGAGCCAAAATGAACGCCGGGCCCAGACCGAGAGGTCACCGATTCGCAAAGTTGGCCGGATGGGACAAGTCATTTTGTCGATTGCAGTCTTAGCAGAAGATACCTTGACGCATATCCCAGAGAGTATCCATAACGACTGGTAACTCCACACGTCCCAACTCTCAAGTACCGGACCCAGATGGCAGAAGGGCGGCCACAAATGATATGAGAGGTTCCCACATATCACATTCCCGAAGAGAGGAAAGACGACATCCTCGGCCAATCTAAGACAATGGAATCCAAAAACCACACACCACACAAGAGCCGATCCCTCTCGCAGGGACCGCCCCGCTGGAGATAATTGCCTACCCCGCTCAGGTCTCGAGGGTCTGATGACGAGAACAAGGAAAGACCTCGTTGTCGCAGGGGACTAAGTGGCGCTACTGCACCCTTGGCAAGGTCTATCCACCACGATTGAACCTCACAATTGGGTTCACTAGCATGGGAGGGTCGAGAGGGTCCCTCCGACGGACTGGTTCGCCCATACGCACGTATGGAACCCGAACCATTAGCTCGGTGTTAGGTCCGGTCCTTTTCCTCTTCCTACCTATTCCTGGTCTTGGGGTAGGGGTTCTCTCTCTACTCCTGACGGGCTGACAGGAAAGCGAGAAACTCGGGAAGGCAAAGTAAGACCAGACGAGACTGGACTGGGCCGACCCAAACCAGACTTGACCGTTCCATGTTCGCTACCACACTTCCCTCCCCTTCGGTTCTCCTTCCACCCACCGAGGTTCGCCATCGTCCCTACACTAGGTAAGGTGTACCACGTTGTCTGTGCGGACGATGCTAGTCCAAGGTGTGAGGTAAGCCATAAGACCCGACCGTTTTCCCCCATCGTCTCATGAGCGGACTTTTCTCCCACTCCCTCACCAAATTTTCCCGCTATCACTCGTGCCCTTACCTTCTCGCTTTCTGCTATCCCTTCGTGGCGGTGGAGGGTGGTACCCCCTTCTTCAAAGACGTCCCTTCATGTTTCACAACATCGGAGGACCCTGCAGATAGGGCACGTTGAAAGCTCACGGCCGCGCACGCTAACCAACTATGCCTCTCAAAGTCGCTGTCATCGGTGCCGGGCCCGCGGGTCTGGCGACGGCCAGATATCTGAAATGGGCGCACTTGTTCTTCGCGATTGAGCCTATCCAGGTCCGGGTCTTTGAGGCCGAGGATGATATTGGGGGGACATTCAAGTATCGAGTGTACGAGGATGCTGAAGTAAGTTTGCCGCCATTGAACTCAAACTGTTGTCTGTTCCTCACAACATGTGTTGTCATCGGAGGAAAGGTCTATTTGAAGCTGACAGCATGGCCATAGCTCGTCTCGTCTAAATATCTAACTGCCTTCTCCGATCACCGCCTGCCCCAAGATGCAGCTGATTATGTCACCCCGGCTGTCTATGTACAGTACCTGAACGAATACTGTGATCGTTTCGAGCTTCGACCTCACATCGAGTGCTCATCTAAGGTCACTCGCACTGAAAGGGTAGATGGTGGAGGGCATATCGTCACCGTCACTCGCAACGATGACACAACCTTCGACTACGTCTGCGATGCCGTTGCTGTCTGCTCCGGGCTCAACCTCGAACCCCGTATTCCTGACATTCCAGGGTTAGACAAAGTCCCAAAGGTCCTTCACTCATCGCAGTTCAAGAGTCGAGATCAGCTTCGCGACGTCAAGAGCGATAAGCCTATCGTTGTCATTGTCGGCACCGGAGAGACTGGCCAGGATCTCGGTCAACTAGCGGCGACGACTGAAACTGTTCAACATGTTGTGATGTGCCACAGAGATGGATTCGTGGTTGCACCCAAGGTAAGAGATTCAACAGGTTGGAAGCCTGTTTGTATGGGTTGATATTGATTCGTCACAGACCGCGCCGACGCCAGTCATGTTCGGATTCTGGGGCAAGAATAGCAAAGTGAACGATAAGCCCGTCGACTGTTCCATCGCTAGTCTCTTCGATACGGCATATGTTCCCCAGAAGTTGCAGTCAAGCCAACTGCTGTGGGACTTTTACAACCAACAGATCGACGTCACATTCTCGCTAATTGGTGGAACGCTTGAAGGCTGGGACCAACACGTCGGCGGCATGCGTCGGGAGAGAATGCACATCGATCACTGTATGCGGCCATCTGCACCAACTTTGGGGGGACCGGCTAACCAAAGATTGCAGTCTTCCCGGCCAAATCCACCCGTGCTGTGCCGTACATCTCCGCGCCTTGGCGGCCGCCTCTCTCGGTTATGGAGCGGATCCGCCGATTCTTCTTCTACATCAAAGAGCTTGACGTCGATACCAAGGGTCGGTACATTGACGTTGCTCCCTGGCCCGAGTACGTTGACGACGATGGCGTGTTGCACTTCCGCGATACTGGTAGACCAGAGTCGGAGAAGATGAAACAGATGGTAGTGAAGCCTGATGTTATCCTATTTGCAACTGGCTACACCCGTCGTTTCCCTTTCCTCGATAAGAGCTATGGCACACCCGACACGGCCGATGTGCGAGCCATCTATCACAGTAACGATATATCCGTGGGATTCATCGGCTTTGTGCGGCCGAACCTAGGTGAGTAGTTCATCCCAAAATGACTCTTCTGCATGCTCTTCTGCAAGCATAACCTCTAACAACGCTTCTCAGGTGCCATTCCGACACTCGCCGAAATGCAAACCCAATTCTGGATCCTTCAACTTCTTCGATCCAAGTACCCTAACGTCCCTGGCTTAGCAACCCCGTCGGCAGGACTAACACTAGACGCAAACGCCCTTCCTGGCTACGATATCGACTGGAAACTTCATCCACGATGCGGCCGAGACCCATGGGCCGAAAAGCGAGGCGTCGACCACGAGAGCTATGTATACCAGCTAGCCCTCGACATGGGCTCAGCACCGCGTTTCACTTATGTATACTCAAAGGGCTTTAAAGCCTTGTACACCTGGGCCATGGGTAGCAACTTCAATGCAAAGTTCCGCCTAGTCGGTCCCTGGAAGAACGAAGAAGAGTCGCTGCGCATCATACGCGGTGAGCTCTACGGCATCGTCAAGCGGTCTGGCGGTATGCTATACATGATTGCCAATACCTTGATACCCTTTTTCTTATTCGGCACGATGAGTATGGCCATTCATACGTGGGAGTGGACCAAGAGTCTGTTCCACCCGTGGATGCGGAAGGGGGGCCACATCCGTCTTCCCGAGTGTCAATAACGACGTAATGACCATTTCCTTTAAGTTTAGATGTTCGAATTCAGAATACTAGCGACGAGAAAGAATTTTCCAAACAAGACAAGATAACTCATAGTCGTAATTACTTAGGTACTAGTACACAATCAATCCAGGACATGTGCGAAAAACCTTGCCAGCTCGTACAAGCATTGCTTCCATATGACATTAGTGCATTTATCGGCATGATCTGATCTCTCTATAGGTATTGTAATAGTTTCATCTTTGTAAATAATATACCAAGTCTCGATCATATCTATCGCCTCAAGAGCCATCCATCGTATGATGTTGAAGGGTATCTCGTTTCAGCTTGCTTCTCGGATGACGTTGAACTGGATGGGAGATTGGCTAGCTTCTGGATAATTCTGCCATCCAGATTAGGATCGGGGCCTCTGTAGTTGTACACCGACGCATTGAACTCAGGAATAAGACGAGGTCTGCAGGCGAACAGCATCTTGTAAAGCTGGTTGTCTTGCCACTTCCCAAAAGCCGTCGACAACGCCAGGTCAAAATACCGCCCAAAAGGTGTGAACTGCAGAATATGGTTGTACACATCGCCATCGCCGATGTTTTGTCCTTCCAGGATGCTACTTTTGAGTCTGTCAAGCTCGTCGTAAAGGGCGTTCTTCGGTATAACGAGTCCTGAGGGATCATGCGCGTCGATGCACTCCAGCATCCACTTGAGGACAAGGTCACTTAGTACCTCATTCGGCTTGATCGTCTTGCTAGACCAAGCCCACGCTGGAAGAATTCTCTCGATTCGCTGCGGCAACACGCCTCTTACAATCTTGAAGCTCTGTCGACAGACATCGTAGTGTGTTCCCGGGAACCAACGCTCAGTGATGCCGTACGACGGCCCGGACTCTGTGTCGCGGGATATCAGACACGGCTGGTAAGCGTAGAGGCGGTCGTGTAATGAGACGGCGTGGTACACTTCGGATACGACGCTTGAAACATGCTGGTCGTGAAATTTGGGCCAGTCGATGCCGACCGCGCCCGCGAACTCCGGGATGCCGTGTTCCCCAACCGTGTCGAAGATTCCCATAAAGCGAATTGGCGGTTCAACGACGTCCCCATCTCCGATCAAGGCCCAGCTGTGCTTCCTTCTAAAGGTGCGTGATTGTGCTGACTTTGGGGTGTTGGCTTCTGACGGGCATCGGTAGATGCGATAGACCTCCTGGCACAGTTGGTGTGTTTTGTGGACGTCAACATCCCCATCCAGACCATAGACTGGTTTCACGATCCCACAGTTGTTGATCATTCCCGCAACTGATCGAACGACAAAGGCTCCTTTTGAAACACCAAACATCCAGATTTCGGTCTCCTGTGGGGTGTAGCCGTGAACCAGGTACTCGTAGGTATCTATGCATTGCTGCTCGATGTCTTGAACGTTGAGGCCGTGGATAACATGACTTGAAGACCTCGATTAGCGACATATTCTTCCA